AACTTTTCTGTATATGTTAAAATGTTCAGTATAGGAAAACTAGATAAAAAGGAGTGGAAAAGGACTTTTCTGGTAATCCAGTGGGGAAGAATCCACTTGCCAATGCAGGGGATTTGGCTTAAATCCCTGTTTCGGGATGATTCCACGGGCTGAGGGGCAACTAAGCCTGTGTACCACAACTACTGAGCGTGCACACCTAGAGCCCATGCTCCGCAACAAGAAGCCCGTGCACTGCAACGAGGGTGGCCCAGGTTTGCCGCAACCAGAGAAAGCCTGCATGCAGCAGTGAAGACCCAGCACACACACACAAAACAAAAAAAAAACTAAAAAAGATATATATATAATGAATGGAGGAGAAGTAAGCGTAGATAACTTTATGGAGGAATTTAGCTGTGAAGGGAGTGTATTAGTTTTCTAAAGCTTGCTGTAAGAGATTACGACAAACAGTGGCTTAAAAGAACAGAAGCATACTCTCTGACAGTTCTAGGGGCCAGAAGTCCAAAATTAAGGAACTGGCAGAGGCCACCTCCCTGCAGAGGTTGTAGGGAAGAACCCAGTCTGTGCCCCCCACCTCTGGGGGCTTACCCGCGCCTCACTCCAGTCTCTGCCTCTGGAGTCACATTGCCTCCTCTACTTCTGCCTGTGTTTGATCTCTTTCTGTCTCTCTTTTATAAGGACACTTGCACTGGCCTATCAGGCTCACCCAGATTATCCAGAATAAATTCCTCCTCTCAAGATCTTTAACTTAATCACATCTTTCACCATATAAAGTAATGTGCATTCTTCTGCCACATGGGTGATATTCACAAGTTCCTGGGATTAGGAAAGGAATGTATCTTTGGAGGCCCACTTTTTTGCCTAGTACAGGAAGAAAGAAAATGCGACAGTATCTAGAGAGGAATGTAGGGGCATGAAAGGTTTTGTTTTTAAGATGAGAGAAAAGATTGCATGTTTACAATAAGTGGTTTGAGACATTTTGCTGTACACGGCAGTAACAGTACAATAATACAGTTGATTTGTTCATTGTGTTAGTCACTCACACACAGGTAAATTCATAAAGAAAATAGCAAGGCCATCATCAAAAAGTCTACAAATAATAAATGTTCGAAAGGGTGTGCAGAAAAAGGAACTCTCCTATGCTGCTGGTGGGAGTATAAATTGGTACAGCCACTATAGGGGTTTCTCAGAAAACTAAAAACAGAGTTACCATAGGATTCTGTAATTCCATTCCTGGGCATCTATCTGGAGAAAACTATAAGTCAAAAAGATACCTGCAGGACTTCTCTGGTGGGCCACTGGCTAAGACTCCATGGTCCCAATGCAGGGGGCCAGGGTTTGATCCCTGGTCAGGGAACTAGATGTGGCATGCTGTAATAAAGATGGAAGATCCCACATGACTCAATTAAGACCTGGTGAAGCCAAGTAAATAAATAAATAATTTCAAAAATATGGCATACACTATGGAAAACAGTGTGGAGATTTCTTAAAAAGCTGGAAATAGAACTGCCATATGACCCAGCAATCCCACTTCTGGGCATACACACCGAGGAAACCAGATCTGAAAGAGACACGTGTACCCCAATGTTCATCGCAGCACTGTTTATAATAGCCAGGACATGGAAGCAACCTAGATGCCCATCAGCAGACGAATGGATGAGGAAGCTGTGGTACATATACACCATGGAATATTACTCAGCCATTAAAAAGAATTCATTTGAATCAGTTCTAATGAGATGGATGAAACTGGAGCCCATTATACAGAGCGAAGTAAGCCAGAAAGATAAAGACCATTACAGTATACTAACACATATATATGGAATTTAGAAAGATGGTAACGATAACCCTATGTGCAAAACAGAAAAAGAGACTCCTATGTATAGAACAGACTTGTGGACTCTGGGAGAAGGCGAGGGTGGGATGTTTCAAGAGAACAGCATTGAAACACGTATATTATCTAGGGTGAAACAGTTCACCAGCCCAGGTTGGGTGCATGAGACAAGTGCTCGGGCCTGGTGCACTGGGAAGACCCAGAGGGATTGGGTGGAGAGGGAGGTGGGAGGGGGGACCGGGATGGGGAATACATGTAAAAAAAAAAAAAAAAAAGATACACTATGGTTGTGATAAAAAATAAATAAATAAATAAATAAATATGGCATAGAGTTTACAGATCTTTTGGAGACTGGGGAAAATTATAAAGGGATGTGTATAAAACTTTTTTTTAAAGGTTTACCAACATGTTTTGTATATAATTTTATTTATTTATTTATGGCTGTGCTGGGTCTTCGTTGCTGCATGGGCTTTTCTCTAGGTGTGGTGTGCATGCTTCTCATTGTGATGGCTTCTCTTGTTGCAGGACACAGACTCTAGGGTGTGCAGGCGTTAATAGATGGGGCGTGTCAGCTCAGTAATTGAGGTTCCTGGGCTCCAGAGCTCAGGCTCAATAGTTGTAACACATGGGCTTAGTTGCTCCGAGGCCTGTGGGATCTTTCTGGACCAGGGATTGAACCCATGTCTCCTGAATTGGCAGGTGAATTTTTTACCACTGAGCCATCAGGGAAGTCCAGAAAACTTAACAGCTAAAAAAAATAAGACTATTATTTATATAAATTTGTTATGAGACTTACTTATGATATAATGAAATTTCTACCCCTTAGGAATTGTATAGATTTTTAAAACTATATGGAGGAGAAAGGGTGAAGTATTCCTTTCATCCTAACTATCCATGACTGCTTTTCACCACCTCTTAGGTCCCTACTGGAGAGACCAAGTCTTAATACTGATGCTTTGATACTAGGTACTTAGGGAGTCTCCTCTCTTCCCTGGGGTGACAGTGGATGCTGGATGACAAGTGGAAGACATACAAGAAAGCCCCAAAGGAGACAGGCACAGGGGGAAACTCCATCTGATTAGATGAATAATTAAAAGTCACAATGGAAACAATAATAATACAAAATAACTGAGACAATTTCAAATCAAGTATGAGCAATTCAAATTTGATGTGGAGGTAAGGGGAACTCGTGGAAATAGTGATCATGGTGAAGTAATTAAAATGGTGGAATCCATTGTATCATGATTAGTCAACAGGAAAATAATAGAATTCTATATTACCAAAACTACCATTTAATAGAAAAACCTGTAATCACTTTTTAAAATCCAGATGCATATCAGAATTATATTGGAATTTTTTGAAAAATACAAATGCCCAGATGCTTTTTTTTTTTTCTTTGCTACAACTCCAGATACATTTCTAATGAGCAGCCATGTTTACAAAGAACTGGTCTGTATGAGGATCTTTTATCTATCTTGTTTCACTTCTTCTATTTCATACTCCGTGTTCCCATTTCGTTTAGTTTATGCTTTCCAAGTTCTCTCTTTTCTTTTTTTTAATGTACTTTCTCAAGCCTTTATCAAGCATAGTAGAAAAGCTCTTGTATACATATATATAAATAATATGTATAATATATATATTAGAAAACTTATGAATTTTTGCCTAAAAAATTTATGACACTTTGATTCCACTTGTTTGACTTAGCATAAATAGAATGCTAGATTTCTAATTTAAAAAAATACATATGTAACCAGCAACAAAGGTTTACTGTATAGCACAGGGAACTATAGTCAATATCTTGTAATAACCTGTAATGGAAAATAATTTCAAAATAATATATGTGTATACATATAACGAATCACAAAAATAAAAGAATTCTATTTTTTGAAATTTAGTAATGTTTATCTTTTTGCCAGTTTTTCTAAAAGTCCTATGGACATCTAATAACATATGAGATACAAAATTTTAAATTTATTTGTGTAGGATATAAGATTAATATGAATAGAAATCTATTATATTTAAATTATTAATGACATCATTCAAGATGCTCCTATTCTTATTTTTTCTGAACTTCATACTCTCAGAGAAATGTTACTAAATCTCACTATGATTATATTTTTTTTCTTTTCACTTATATTTCTTCTGATTTTTGCTTTATGTATCTTTGTTTCTTTGTTGTTAGGTGGCTAATGGTTTACGATGTCTATCTTCTCTGTGAATTGTACCTTTTATCATTAAAAATATTTTTTGTTTCATTTAAAAATAAATAACTAAATTTAAAATAGGGGAACCCATGGGACTTCCCTGGTTGCCCAGTGGTTAAGAATCTGCCTTCCAATGCAGGGGATGGGTGTTCAGTCCCTGGTCAGGGACCTAAGATCCCACATGCAGGGGGCAACTAAGCCCCGTGGGCCACAATGAAGGGCCCATATGCTGCAATAAAGACCCAGCACAGCCAAGAAATAAAATAAAACAGGGCTATTCTGTTATTCTGGAAGTTATTCTGGATACAATTTGCAGGCTAGAGGGAAGATCAGGGAGGCTGGACCAGATACACAGGACCCAGTGTGAGGCCTGTCCTACTGCACTGTAAAATCAGCTACATGGGAGAGGAGAGAAGCAGGGAAGAAATAACTTTAAAATCCAACAAACATGATTACTATTATGGGATGTAGTTTCTTACTTTTTTCCGTCACTTCTTTATTTTCTCATCTCTGCTCTCGCCTTTGTCGAGCTCCTCATCCTTTAGGATCCTCTATCAGACATTGATCACTCCAGCCCACATCTCTTTCCACCACCTTCATGATCTATCCTCATCCCACTGTCACTGTCCATTTTTCTCACTATGCATTCTCCTACATCTCATAAACTCAATCATCTGTTAAACTAAATCTTTCTGGCCCGTCCTCAATCCATTTCTCAAGCACTTCTCTACAAGCTCCTTAGTCACAGCTCTTTTCCAAGAAACCAATGTCCACTTTTCCTCTAGCTATCGACACATTAACAAATCTCTTTCTTCCCAAAATGTTCCACTTCCCTCTTTATCAGACTTTTTCACTTCCTTTGGTCCTGGTGTCCACCTCATTCCCAGTAGCTCTTCATTCCCACTCTTTCTTCTATTAGGCTCAGATGCTTTCTCTATTTACCCCTTCAGGGTCAATAGCATTCTGCTTCACTCTAATTTCTCCTCTTTGACTTGCAAAACATCCCCTATTTGCTCCTCTTTCCTTCTTATATTCTCCATCTCCTCACTCACTTCATCTTCTTCCTCCTCTATAATTGCTTTCTCTTCCATAGAAACAGATTCATCACTATTATTATTCTCTTCTTCCAAGATATCCTCCTCCTCCCCCACCCCTTCCTCATTCTCTTCTTCATCATTCGCCTCTACACTTTCAAAAGGAATTTCCATCTCAGCATTGGTGATTTCTATCAATCTTTCATCCCCAATCACTTCCACCACTTTCTCAATTTGCTCTTCATTTATGCTCCCCATTCTTGAATGCGCCAACTTGTCTCCACTAGTCCCCAGCTTCTCCCTACTGGATCGCTGCTTCTCTGTACTTGAACGCTGTTTATCTCCAGTGGATCTCAACTCCTCTCCACTTGTCCCCAGATCCCCTCCCCTGGATCCCCGCCTCTCTGCCCCGGATCCCCGCCTCTCTGCCCTGGACCCCCGCCTCTCTCTCCTGGGTACTAGCTTCTCTCCACTTGTTCCCAGCTTCTCTCCCCTGGATCCCCGCCTCTCTCCCCTGGATCCCCGTCTCTCTCCCCTGGATCCCCGCCTCTCTCCCCTAGATCCCCGCCTCTCTCCCCTGGATCCCCGCCTCTCTTCCCTGGACTCCAGCTTCTCTCCACTCAAATTCAGTTTCTCTCCACTCGATCTCAGCTCCTCTCCACTCGATCTCAGCTCCTCTCCACTCGATCTCAGCTTCTCTCCACTGGAACTCAGTTTCTCTCCACTTGACCTCAGCTCCTCCTCATTCTGCTTTACTTCGTATCCTCTGGATCTCAAGTCCTCTCCACTGGTTTCCACGTCAGTAAACTTCAACTTCTCTTTAAACGCAGGCCCCTTCCGAGATCCCACTGCAGCCCCTGCACTCTCAGATTCAGCCTCTACTGTGTGTCTGAATTCTTGCTTTCCCCACACCTCCTTTGAGCTGTCTTTCCGCAAACCTGCCGAAATCTGTAATGCACTTGATACACTGCGCACTCGTTTCACATCCATCCTTTCCGGACTCCGGCCTGACTTTCCTCTTAAGACTGTCTTTTCTACATCTTCCAGTCTCCAGTTCTCAGACTCAAGCTTCGGGTCCCACGTTTTAGGTCTTCGCGTCTTTCTACCCAGGAGCTCCATTTTCCTGCCAATGACGATCAGCCCGTTCCAGGGCATCCATAACTTTTCTCGCATCGTCTGCGCCCCTCTGCTTCCCGGTTCCAGTTGCGACAGCCCGAAGGTCCTGGCCTGGCCTCGGGCGCCCTGGCAGCGGGCCTTGTCGCGCCCCCTTGCCGCTCTTTGTGGCTTACCCCGCCACTCCCTCCTGTCCCCGAGCGGATATCCAAACAGAGCCCCTTTCTCCAAAGACATTACGCCTCTCCGCGGTCCCTAGTCCGCCCACCCCACCCCAGCTCCCCATTCCCCCCACCCTCCCACCCAGCCCACTGGCCCGCCGCCCCGCCCACCGCCTGGAGGGCGCGAGAGTGGACTAGTGCGCACGCGCAGACCGCGCGAGGCCGTTGGAAGGCGAGGCCCAGAGCGCCAGGGAGCGGGAGTCTACCAACCGGGAGGTGGGGGCTGACAGGACTCGAGACCTCTACGACTGTAGAGCAACCCCCTCCCCATCCCCCCGCCTCCCGCCTCCATGCTGCAGCCTGTTCCCGGCCCTCTCAGTTCCGGGCTGCCCCTTAAAGGTGGGGCCTGGGCACAGGAACGACAGGCGTTGCAGCCAATGGCGTCCCGCACGGTAAACCTGGTACCCAATCACGAGGCGCGGCTGCGAGGGAACGGCGTGGGAACCACGCCCGGCTCCAGGTGACTCCCTGGTAGGGAGGGGAGGGCGCCTCCGTTAGTAGATAGGATCCCCACTGGGTCCGTTCCTCGGGGCGAGGTCTAGCGGACCAAGCTGCCGCAGCGCGCGGACAGTAACCCGCTGCGGAAGCCTTTAGTGCTGTAGTCGAGGAGAGTGATGGGGGAGCATCTAGAAGCTGGGAAGGAGAGCAAAGTAGAGAAAGGATGCAAACCCCCTGCCATTCCTACACCTCCCTCCATAATATCCGCTGATGCCCAATTAGGGAGTGAGAGAGAGAGAGAGAGTGTGTGTGGGTCTACGCTCACGCAAGAGTTAGAGAAAAGAGCGATCTGAGCAAGGGGATGGCATCTGCTTGGGGACTGGTGAGGAGGCAGGGTTTACCTTTACCCCGACAGATGGAAACGGACCCGTCACTCTTACTCCTCCCTCCCCTCCCCTGGGCCGACTCATGCCGGTTTCATGGAAGGATGTTATGGGTTGAGAAGGGGCTGGAATACTGCTTTCCCAAGGTGGGGGGAATACTGTTCACCACTAATGGTTTACATGTGTATCTGTGTTATATAATCAGAAGACCAGTCAGTCTTCATTCTTGACTTCATTTGACAGTTTCTGAGCATCCTTGTGCTAAGGATGGTTGGGGGTGGGCATACAGAGGTGCACACTTTTAAGGGTAGGAGATACATACGTAATGGGTTGTGACTAAAAGGCCACTTATCCTATAAGGATGGAGCAGCCATAGTCCATTTTTGAAGCCCCATCTCTCTCAAGCAGTTACCAAGAAAGGAGGCAGGGCACTTGGGGGCCCGTTGCACCAATGAACCAGACTGTCGGGGGCGGGGGGTGGGGGAGAAGGGTGGGGGTGGGCGGTGCAGGCGTATGGACAGAGGAAGAGCTTGCCCTGGGGGTGCTGGAGAAGCCAACAAGTGAGGAGTGGGGTTCAAGTGGAATTTGATGAAGTGAAAGGGACTGACAGACCAAAGTAGAGAAAAGAAGGCATCGTTTCAGTGTTTATCTATGTTCATATTCATAGTTAAATTCGTTTATATATATGCCTGCCATATAGGAAGGGCAAATCTAAGTGTTAGCTATTGTATTACTATTACTGTATAGTGAATGCTACGTGTTGGGAAGATGTCCTGGGCTGTCAAACTGATGGGTTTGTGGTTACAGCCCACTGGCACCTAACCTTTGTAGGTACCAGACTCTGATAGTCTAGTATTAGATCTTGTCCTTTAGAATAAGCATTACCTTCTTCAAAATTCTCCTATAAATATAGAAAGATGAATAATAAATGAACAGATAAGTAAAAATACAATAGAGAAAATGAAATAACAAAATACTTGATTAATCTAACAGAATTCAAGAAAGAATAAAAGAACAAAAAACAGGAGACAAACAGCAAGATGGCAGGCTTATAGCCTGGTCTGGGAAGATCCCACATGTTGAGGAGCAGCTGAGCTTGAGTACTGCAGCTACTGAAGCTTGCTCACCTAGAGTCTGTCCTTTCCAACTAGAGAAGCCACAGCAATGAAAAGCCCATGCACTGCAATGAAGAGTAGCCCGTGCTTGCCACACTAGAGAAAACTCACACATAGCAACAAAAACACAGGATAGCTGTAAATAATTTTATTTTGAAAAAGACATACTTTTAAGAACACAGAAATATTGAGAAACTAATGGAATATGTACACTATGATCACACTAACCAAAAGAAAGCTGGTGTGGCTTTTTAAATTTCAAACAAGTAGACTGGAAGAGAAAGTATTCTAGAAAAAAAGGAGGGATATTTTATAATTATTAGAGTCAAAAAAAGAGTCAACTCAACAGGAAGATAAAACACTCCTCAATTTTATGTACTTCATAACATAATTTCAAATATGCAAAATAAAAAATTACATAATTAAAAGAAGAAATCAACCCATGATTACAATTAGAGTTTTAGCACAACTGATAGCATATTAAAAAGCAGAGACACTACTTTGCTGACAAAGGTCCATCTAGTCAAAGCTATGGTTTTTCCAGTAGTCATGTGTGGATGTGAGAGTTGGACCATAAAGAAAGCTGAGCACGGAAGAATTGATGCTTTTGAACTCTGGTGCTGGAGAAGACTCTTGAGAGTCCCTTGGACAGCGAGGAGATCAAACCAGTCAGTCTTAAAGGAAATCAGTCCTGAATATTCATTGCAAGGACTGATGCTGAACCTGAAACTCCAATACTTCAGCCACCTAATGCAAAGGGCCAACTCACTGGAAAAGACCCCAATGCTGGGAGAGACTGAAGGCAGGAGAGAAGGGGACAACAGAGGATGAGATAGTTGGATGGCATCACCCACTCAATGAACATGAGTTTGAGCAAGCTCTGGGAGATAGTGAAGGACAGGGAAACCTGACGTGCTGCAGTCTGTGGGGTTGCAGAGTTGGACATGACTGAGCAACTGAACAGCAGTAAGTGTCAGCAGACCAAAAAAACCCAGCATTTAGATTTAAATAGTGTGATTAATCAGCTGATTTATGTAGCACTCTATAACCTACAACTGCAGAAGACACATTCTATTCAAGTGTACATGAAGCATTTACCAAAATCCATTATGTGTTTAGCAAGAAAACAAGTATCAACAAACTTTAAAAGACTGAAATGATATAGAGTGTGATCTCTGATCTAGGAGATTCATCAAGGAATCAAAATAAAAAATAACTACATTCCAAAGTATTTGGAAATTAAACAACATACTTCTAAATAATAAGTCAAAGAAGAAATTATAATGGAAATTAGGAAATTTTTTAAGAAATTATTTTGAAAATATGACATATCAAAACATATAAGATTGGAGAAGGAAATGGCAACCCACTCCAGTATTCTTGCCTGGGAAATCCCATGGACAGAGGAGCCTGGTGGGCTACAGTCTGTGGGGTTGCAAAAGAGTCAGACACGACTTAGCAACTAAATAACAGATGGAGTCTTATGATGACTTGTGGCAGAATGATTGTCCCTAATATGTCTGTTTATGAATAATTGTGGTGAAAATGATAAGAAAAAAGAAGAAAATGTGACAGAATTCTGTATGTTAAGATGCTTTTTAATATCCAAAGTTAAAGAGATTTGTTTTCGTACAGACTTCCTGAAAATGTGATTGTGGCTCAGCTGGTAAAGAATCTGCCTGCAGTGTGGGAGACCTGGGTCCGATCCCTGGGTTGGGAACACCCCTGGAGAAGAGATAGGCTACCCACTCCCGTATCCTTGGGCTCCCCTTGTGGCTCAGCTGGTAAAGAATCTGCCTGCAATGCAGGAGACCTGGGTCCGATCCCTGGGTTGGGAACACCCCTGGAGAAGGGAAAGGCTACCCACTCCAGTATTCTGGCGTGGAGAATCCCATGGACTGTATAGTCCATGGGGTTGTAAAGAGTCGAACACAACTGAATGACTTTCACATCAAGTGTGAGTACAGTTCGACAAAGAAATAAAAGTATGAGCACATTTTTTAAAAAGTGCTGACTTATAAGCTGTAGCTAAAGCAGTGTCCAGAGAGCAATTTATACCTCCAAATGTATATTTTAGAAAAAGAGAAAGGTTAAAAAGTCAGTGATCTAATTTCAATATCAAGAAGCTAGAGAGGACATATCTAGTGGTCTAGTGGTTAAGAATCTGCCTGCCAATGCAGAGGACACCAGTTCGATCGCTGGCATGGGAAGATCCCACATGTCACAGGGCTATTAAGCTCTTGTGCCACAGTGTGCAAAACCTCTATGGAGAAACTATAAAACATTACTGAGAAAAATTAAAGAAGACCTGAATCATTGGAAAGATATCCATGTTCATGGATTAGAAGATACAGTATTGTAAAAATGTCTATCCTTCCCAAATTGACCTCTAGATTCAATGTAATCTCAATCAAATCTCAGAAAGTTGGGGTAGAAATTAACAAGCTGATTCTAAAATTTACGTGGAAATGCAAAGGACCTACAGGAGCCAAAATGATTTTGAAAAAGAACAAAGTTAATTCTACATTATTTCCATATTACCTATCAATTATAATAAGAGAGTGTGATATCAAAAATATAGATGTGTATCAGTGGAACAGAATAGGGAATACAGAACTGATCACTTTTGAAGTCAGTTGATTTTCTGCCAGGGTGTACACCAAAACAAACCACAGTGCAAATCAGTTCAGTTCAGTTGCTCAGTCGTGTCCGACTCTTTGCAACCCCATGGACTGCAGCACAACAGGCTTCCCTGTACATCACCAACTCCCAGAGTTTACTCAAACTCATGTCCATTGAGTTGGTGATGCCATCCAGCCATCTCATCCTCTGTCGTCCCCTTCTCCTCCAGCCTTCAGTCTTTCCCAACATCAGGGTCTTTTCAAATGAGTGAGCTCTTCGGATCAGGTGGCCAAAGTATTGGAGTTTCAGCTTCAACATCAGTTCTTCCAATGAACATTCTGGACTGATTTCCTTTAGGATAGACTGGTTGGATCTCCTTTTAGTCCAGGGGACTCTCAAGAGTCTTCTCCAACACCACAGTTCAAAAGCATCAATTCTTCAGTGCTTATCTTTCTTTATAGTCCAACTGTCACATCCATACATGACTCCTGGAAAAACCATAGCTTTGACTAGATGGACCTTTGTTGCCAAAGTAATATCTCTGCTTTTTAATATGCTGTCTAGGTCATAACTTTTCTTCCAAGGAGCAAGTGTCTTTTAATTTCATGGCTGCAGTCACCATCTGCAGTGATTTTGGAGCCCTCCAAAATAAAGACTGTCACTGTTTCCATTGTTTCCCCACTTATTTGTCATGAAATGATGGGACAAGATACCATGATCTTAGTTTTCTGAATGTTGAATTTTAAGCCAACTTTTTCATTCTCCTCTTTCACTTTCATCAAGAGGCTCTTTAGTTCTTCTTCGCTTTCTACGATAAGTGTGGCGTCATCTGCATATCTGAGGTTATTGATATTTCTCCCTGCAGTCTTGATTTCAGCTCGTGCTTCATCCAGCCCAGCGTTTCTCATGATGTACTCTGCATAGAAGTTAAATAAGCAGGGTGACAATATACAGCCTTGACACACTCCTTTCCTGATTTGGAACCAGTCTGTTGTTCCATGTCCAGTTCTAACTGTTACTTCTTGACCTGCATACAGATTTCTCAGGAGGCAGGTCAGGTGGTCTGGTATTCCCATTACTTTAATAATTTTCCACAGTTTGTTGTGATCCACACAGTCAAAGGCTTTGGCATAGTCAATAAAGCAGAAATAGATGTTTTTCTGGAACTCTCTTGCTTTTTTGATGATCCAGCAGATGTTGACAATTTGATCTCTGGTTCCTCTGGCTTTTCTAAATCTAACTTGAACATCTGGAAGTTCATGGTTCACCTGCTGTTGAAGCCTGGCTTGGAGAATTTTGAGCATTACTTTGCTAGTGTGTGAGATGAGTGCAATTGTGCAATAGTTTGAGCATTCTTTGGCATTGCCTTTCTTAGGGACTGGAATGAAAACTGACCTTTTCCAGTCCTGTGGCCACTGCTGAGTTTTCCAAATTTGCTGGCATATTGAGTGCAGCACTTTCACAGCATCATCTTTTAGCATTTGAAATAGCTCAACTGGAATTCCATCACGTCCACTAGCTTTGTTCATAGTGATGCTTCCCATGACCCACTTGACTTCGCACTCCAGGATGTCTGGCTCTAGATGAGTGATCACACCATCATGGTTATCTGGGTCATGAAGATCTTTTTTGTACAGTTCTTCTGTGTATTCTTGCTACCTCTTCTTAATATCTTCTGCTTCTGTTAGGTGCATATTGTTTCTCTCCTTTATTGTGCCCATGTTTGCATTAAATGTTCCCTTGGTATCTCTAATTTTCTTGAAGAGATCTCTAGTCTTTCGCATTCTATTGTTTTCCTCTATTTCTTTGCATTGATCACTGAGGAAGGCTTTCTTATATCTCCTTGCTATTCTTTGGAACTCTGCATTCAAATGAGTATATCTTTCCTTTTCTCCTTTGCCTTTAGCTTCTCTTCTTTTCACAGCTATTTGTAAGGCATCCTCAGACAACCATTTTGCCTTTTTGCAAGATAGTCTTGATCACTGCCTCTTGTACAAAGTCACGAACCTTCGTCCATAGTTCTTCAGGCACTCTGCCTATCAGATCTAATCCCTTGAATCTATTTGTCACTTCCACTGTATAGTTGTAAGGGATTTGATTTAGGTCATACCTGAATGGTCTAGTGGTTTTCCCTACTTTCTTCAATTTAAGTCTGAATTTGGCAATGAGTTCATGATCTGAGCCACAGTCAGCTCCCAGTCTTGTTTTTGCTGACTGTATAGAGCTTCTCCATCTTTGGCTGCAAAGAATATAATCAATCTGATTTCGGTATTGACCATCTGGTGATGTCCATGTATAGAGTCTTCTCTTGTATTGTTGGAAGAGGGTGTTTGCGATGACCAGCGTGTTCTCTTGGCAAAACTCTATTAGCCTTTGCCCTGCTTCATTCTGTACTATAAGGCCAAATTTGTCTGTTACTCCAGGTATTCCTTGAATTCCTACTTTTGCATTCCAGTCTCCTATAATGAAAAAGACATCTTTTGGGGTGTTAGTTCTAGAAGGTCTTGTAGGGCTTCATAGAACCATTCAACTTCAGTTTCTTCAGCATTATTGGTCAGGGCATATTGGACTACTGTGATACTGAATAGTTTGCCTTGGAAACAAACAGAGATCATTATGTCATTTTTGAGATTGCATCCAAGTACTGCATTTCAGACTCTTGTTGACTGTGACAGCTACTCCATTTCTTCTAAGGGATTCTTGCCCACAGTAATAGATGTAATTTAATTTATATATTTATAAATTATATAATTTATAAATATAAAAATTATATAATTTAACATCTGAGTTAAATTCACCCATTCCAGTCCATTTTAGTTCACTGATTCCTAAAATTGTCGATTTTCACTCTTGCCATCTCCTGTTTGATTACTTCCAATTTGCCTTGATTCATGGGCCTAATATTCCAGGTTCCTATGCAATATTGCCCTTTACAGCTTCAGACCTTGCTTCTATCACCAGTCACATCCACAACTGGGTGTTGTTTTTGCTTTGGCTCTGTCTCTTCATTCTTTCTGGAGTTATTTCTCCACTGATCTCCAGTAGCATATTGCGCACCTACCACCCTGGGGAATTCATCATTCAATGTCCTATCTTTTTGCCTTTTCGTACTGTTCATGGGGTTCTCAAGGCAAGAATACTGAAGAGGTTTACCATTCCCTTCTCCAGTGGACCACTTTTTGTCAGAACTCTCCACCATGACCCGTCCACCTTGGGTGGCCCTACATGGCATGGCTCATAGTTTCATTGAGTTAAACAAGGCTGTGGTCCATGTGATCAGATTGCTTAGTTTTCTGCGATTGTGGTTTTCATTTTGTCTTCCCTCTGATGGATAAGTGCAAATACAATGTTTTTAAACAAAGAGTGCTAAAACCACTGGCTATTTATGTGGCAGAAATGAATCACAACCCACAGTTTACACTATATACAAAATGAATTAAATGGATCATAGACCTACATATAAATATATGAAAATGGATCATAGACCTAAAACTGTTTCTGGAAAAAAAAAATAGAATATCTTCATGACTTTGGGGTGGGAGTGTTTCTTCAAGAGTACAAAAACATCCTTAACCACAAAAGAAAAGATTGGTTTGTTGAGCTTGTAGAATTATAAGCCATTAAGAGAGTGAAAAGTCTCGCTTCGGCAGCAGATATACTAAAATTGGAACAATACAGAGAAGATTAGCATGGCCTGTGTGCAAGGATGACACGCAAATTCGTGAAGCATCCCATAAATTAAAAAAAGAGAAAAAAAATAAGAGAGTGAAAACACATTCCATAGAGCTGTGGATATTGACAACACATATAACTGACAAAGGCACCTGGAACTTCCATACAGTGCTGGTGGGAGTGTAAATTAGAACAATCAGCTTGGGAAACTGTTTGGCAGCATCTATGAAAGCATTTTAAACACATGCCTACCCTCTGACCAAGCAGTTCTCATACCCAACAGAAATGAGTACTTAGGTCCCTCAAAAGATATATGCAAGAATGTTCATGGTAGCTTTATTTATAATAACCGCAAACTGGAAATAAATCCAAATGAGCACCAACAGCAGTAGACTAGATAAACCATGATGTGGTCATAGAGTGGGACACCACACAGCAATGAAAAAGAACCACCATGCTCAACGACATAGATGGGTATCGTTAAAGAACATGGACACAAAAGAGTGTGTTCTATGTAACTGCATTGTTATATGAAGCTCAGGGCCAGATAAAATTAATCTATGAGTGGTCCCTCAGTGTCCTAAACATAGGCCAAAGCCCATGAGAGGAGACAGGGAGGCCTCTGAGGGTGAGAAGTGAGCTGTGCTTGGAGCGAGAGTGACTTCTGACCTTGTCTCTAGTACCTCCTGGCCCAGTGGTATGGACAGAGCAGGTGTTCAGTAAATGCATATTGAGATAGCTCAGTGCAAGAATGAACTAGTAGCTTGGTGCCTCAGGGATCTTTTCATTTGGAGAGATATAAGTGCTTGACCTATAAGTCTGTGCCTCTTGACACTAAACGTAGTGAATGGAATGGTCTCAGGACCCCCTCAGAAAGAGGTGGGACCGTCTTTACACCTGGTGAGAGGTACCTGAGGTAACCAGCTGGGAAGGGCTGGGCAGGTAGCTGAGGAAGCACGTGGGATGTGGAATTGAAAAACTGTTCCAATCTGGCCCTGCCACGTGGCAACTGTGTGGTTCAGGCCACATTATTTCACCTCTCTGGGGATGGCAGCCTCTGGGCCTATAAAATGGGGCAAATTCTGCCTACTTCAGAGGATGGCCAGGTGGGAAAGTATCATTGTGAAGCCCTGAGCAGTGACTTATCAGGATCTTTGGTGTGTGTGGTGGGGTGCAGCCAGTGACCCCAGGGCATGGTGGAAATAACACTTTGAGGTGGCTCTGCAGGAGGACTGGAAGCCTGCGGCCAGGATGGGGGTGGTGGTGGTCAGTCACGTCAGGGTCCTCCTATCCCCCACAGGCCTCCTCCATGTCAGTGGGCCTGCAGGGAGACAGCTCCTTGCAGGTGGAGATCTCTGATGCTGTCAGCGAGCGGAGCGGGACAAGGTGAAATTCACTGTTCAGACCAAGGTGACATTGAATGGGGAGCAGGGGTGTGGTTCCGGTGGCTGCCGAAGGAGGCTTCAGGAGCCCGAGCAGCCTGGCTCACCTGGTGGGCAGATGCCAACAGAGCCTTTGGGCCTGGCTTCTCAACCTGGTTCTCGCCCCCTGCCCCTCTGAGAAAGAGAGTGTCTCATCTAGTCTCTGACTGCCTTTTCCCAAGGCCCCAAGTGTCTACCCTCCTAAGGGTGATCAGGAACACGAAAGCCCCAACTTGGGCCTCACCTGGCATGTGGGACAGGGGTGGCCCAAAAGTGGGTGCGCAGGAAGCTTGGTGGGTGTCGGACTTGCGGGGGGCAGGGGAGGGGAGACCCCTCAGGTAGGCTTCTAGGCTTCCGGAGCTGCCTGCCTCACTTTACCCAGACTGAGTTCTCCGTCATGTGACAGCATGAGGAGTTCATCTGGCTGCACGATGCCTACGAGGGAGGTGTATGCAGGCCTCCCCGTGAGGGGGAGCCAGCCTGGGAGAACAGGGGGTACGCCGTCTCCCTGTGAGCGGGAGCCGGCCTGGGCCCTCAGGGGAGGTGGGGAGGCAGGGCCAGGCTTCAGGGTGTGGCTGACGGCCATCTGGATAATGAGAGGTCTCCCAGCTCTGTCCTCCTTTGAGCAGATCCCCCCAGCCCCTCCACAGTCAGACTCTTTGAGGCTTCAAAGGAAAAACTGCAGAAGCCGGATGAGGAAGACCGCTCAATCACGCGGCAAGAGTTTGCCAAAATGAAGCAGGAGCTTGAAGCGTGAGTGCTGCCTTCTTTTCTTTCTTTTTTTTTAACATTTACTTATCTGACTTTGTCGGGTCTTAGTTTTAGTACACAGACTCTTAGTTGTGGTGCACAGGCTAGTTGCTCCTCAGAATGTGGGAATCTTAAGTTTCCTGACTAGGGATCCAACCTGCGTTCCCTGCATTACAAGGCAGATTCTTAACCTCTGGGAAGTCCCTTGCCTCCATTTCTTGTCTGCCTGACAAAGCCCCAGCCCAATCTCACCTCAGAGGCCCAGGGTTTCCCTCCTGACTACCCTCTGTGAATGTTTAGGGACCCTGCTCCTTACTCTGGGGCTGCCAGAGTGGAAGGGGCAGGATGATGGGAGCCAGCAAGGGAGCTGTGAGCTGCCTGCTGTCCTCTGTGGGGAATACCTGGCTATCTTCAAGAAGACAGTTACGATCCATGAAGTCTCTCTGCAGCAACTGGCAGCTCACCCCACATTGTGTCGAGACCACAACTTCTTTGTCTTTTTGGAATATAGCCAGGATGTGAGCTGGGGTCACCCCTGGGGGTGGGGGACAGGACTCTTAAGTGGGCTCAGGCCTCCAACTCATCAGCTCTGAGAGTGGCATGTGCCTGGGGTGGGAGGTGCTAATGCCCTCCCCCTGCAACATCGACCCCCTCCCCATGTGTGTCTCAGCTGACTGTCCGAGGAAAGAACAGGAAGGAGCACCTTGGGTTTCTGAGGAATATCATGAAGTCTGCAGACGAAGCCCTCCATCACTGGGATGTCAGGGCTCAAGGTGACTCCTAGGCCCCTTCTCTGGATTCAACCCAGGGCCTCAAGTCCACAGCAAGGACTGAGGCCCTGGGTGGCTGTGGGAGGGAAGCCACTGGGGGTTCTGGCCTAGGGGGAGATCATGCCACCCTTGGGAGCCCTTAGCTGCTCTGCTTCTGGTGGCTCAGTGTAAGTGGGTCCTGTCTGGCTCCCATAGGAGGTGGATGACTTCTTTGAGCATGAGAGGACCTTCCTGCTGGAGTACCACGCCTGCATCCAGGACGCCTATCTGCGTGCAGACCAAGTCATGCACTCATGAGTGTACGCAGAACTCCAGGGGCCCTGGATTCCCTACCTTCTCTACCCAGTGGCATACTCCCCAGAGAGGAAATTTCCTGTGTCTTCCCGTGGCCACAGACACCCGTGGTGTGGCTTGACAGGTGGGCCAAGGGGCTCTGATGGGAGGCTCTATCCCAGCAAGCCTGGCAGATGATTACATGCCTATCTCAGCTGCACTGAGCAGTCTGGGATCACAGGAAGTCAAACCAGCTAAAGACGTGGATTCCCTCTGGCCCCTCTCCCCCCTTTCTATGCCTGTAATACTGTGTCTGTCCATGAGGGGTCACTGTGTGGAAGTCTACTATCAGCTCTAGCGGTAGGTGCAGAAGCTCCTGTTTGGCTTTGATAGAGAAAGAGCAGATTTCCCCTTAGGGCAGGGAGACTTTAAGCACCTGCCAAGACCCCTGCCCTAACTCCTCCCCACTGCCTAGGAGCTTCTTCAAATTGGCAGAGCTCTTTGAACATTACGGGTGAGTACTGCCTTCTGTGTTGAAAGGTGATCATGATCCTTTGCAGGGAAGAGAGTGTCCTGGGCTGGGGGAAGGCTCCAGGATCGTTTTGGGATCTTTCAGTGATAACTTGGGCCCGATGAAGCCCTGGGCTCACTCTAGTTTAGTGCGAGTGAAGTCAGGGATCCAGCCTCAAGTGTGTGTGCATGTGGTGATGGGGGAGGAGGTGGGAAGTGGGTTTGGCAAGGCCTTTACCAGGATGTGCCACGTGCCTTTGGCACTGTGCTGTGCTGCCAACATTCTGTCCCAGACACACTTCCTGAACTCTTCGCCAAGCAAGTCACTGGAGTGTGCCAATCTTTCTAAAATGTCCGTTGCTCCTCATCTCTTCCCTGCTCAGGGCCCTTTGGTGACCCTGTCCCTTCCAGGAACTGCCCAAGACACAAAGCCCAGAGTTCCTAGCTTGCATTTTAAGCCTGGTATGCTCTGGCCACTGCCACCCAACTGCCCTACTGAACTTAAAGTTCCCTAAAATCATACCTGGCTTGCACACCTGCAAAGCCTTTGCCTGTTGTCTAACCCCTACTCAACCCCTGAGATCTAGGTCTGAGGCCAACTGCTTTGTGAAGCCTTCACTGGCCTGTTCCCGTGAACATGACTGCTTGACATAGAGTGGCTATCAGGTGACCTTGCTGGGTATTTAGAGGGACAGCAGCACCCCTGTCCTTAGCAGCCCCTCTGCCAGCTCCGTCCCCAGCCTCCACTTTCTTGCTTCAGGAGCTGGAGGGCCAAGTGGCCTCTAACGAGGACCTGAAGCTGTCGGACATGCTGAGATACTACGTGTGAGACTCCCAGGCAGCCAAGGCGAGAGGTGGGCCCAGAGCAAACCTCCGGACTGGAGGCCAGGGGGCTGAGCCACCCGGGGGGGCAGGCAGGCGAGGGTCGTGGGTCAGGGACCCTGTGCCCTTGCCGGCCCCAGGACTGTTGTCCTGGCAGCTGCAGGCACTGGCAGACTACAAGAATGCCAAGGCGCTGGACAGGGCCCGCACCACCAACCAGGTGTGGGCTACAGAGAGCCATCCACCTTGTGCCCCTCGGACTCAGCCAGGCAGGGTAAGCCCCGCGCCCCCCGAGCCCTGCCGCTACGCGGGCCACCCCTCCAGGGTCGTCATTGCTCCCCTCTCCAGAGCTCGTGGACTTCACATCCCATGGGTCTTCCTTCCATGAGAACCTCACTGAGCTGGGCCAGCTGGAGCTCAAACACGCCACAGTGAGCCTTCCAGCCTTGCGGAGCCCTCTTGCTGCCTTCCTGGCCTCTCACCCTGGGTCTCTAGTTTCTTGGTACTTGGGAGCAGAGGTGGAGCTGGTGGGGGTGGGGGGAGTTGGCTGGCACGAGCACCCCAGGGCAGGGCCAGGGCTCCCCGTTTTGACCAGGACCCTTCCCTTCTCATCAGTGGCAAGGCCTCAGTGAACAGCAGGACAGGCTGCGGACAGAGGAGTCATTCAAGGTGGAGCAACAGCAGGGAGACATCATGAACTCCTCCACAGGCCAGCACCCTGCTTCTCTGGAGCACCCTTGTCATCCTCAAGGGGGAGCCTTAGAGCTACCAAAAGCCCCCAGATCTCCCACTCCAGACAGGCTGCCTTCTAGCCCTAGGAGCCACTTACTATGCCCCTTCTCAGGGCAAGCCCCACCCCTGCCCCAAGGTGCCAGGCCCCGCCAGAGGGAATCAGAGCAGCATGGACACCACACTTGGTCAGAGATAAGCAGAGCCCCAACCTGGGGAAGCCCGGGGACTGTGACCTCCCCTCCCTAGAGACAGGGACAGCCTCCACCCACTGCTGGTCCATTTGAGTTCATTTGTCTCCAGCCTGCTCACAAATAAAACCTGGTTTTATAAGGAGGCTTGCTTGTTGTGACATTCCAGTCCTGGGGCCCACCAGGTACATCCCCTGCAAGGGGACGGTGGTAGAGGCCAGACCCTGGGGCACACCCCTGCAGTGTCTTCAGCCACTCTCCAGAGTGCCAGGAAGCTCTGTGTATCAAGGGACAAGAGCCAGAACTTGGAACCCAGGAGCAGTCAAGGCGTGCCACCACCCCCTTATAAACCCTGGCACAGACCACACATAAAACTAAAAATACTCTGCACCCATTTCCTAATTAGAAAATGGAATACACCTTCCTGCCTCCCTCTCAGAAATACTGGCAAGTTCCAAGGAACAATCTTTAATTCCAGGCAGCTTTTTAGTTGATGGGAAAGCTGGGTGGGGAGAAGAGGTATAAATCCTGCATTACCACCACCCCTAGGGCAAGACTTCTACCTTTACCTGTGGGGTAGGTGGAAACCCAAAGTAGTCTGGAAAGAGCCCACAGCAAAGTTGCCAAGAGGCTTGAGGCTCCAGCCAACACCCTCCTGGTTAAACACCAGGAAGGTGGTGCCCAAGACACCTGGGTCTGAAGTCCTGGGCTCCACCTGGCCGGCCCCACCCTAGACCCCAGACAGATGCTTAAGGCCAAAGGCTCAACCTGGCTTGTGACTCACAGCAGCCACTGGACCCAGCCCTCAACAATGAGTCAGCTACCCAGGGGAGAAGGCAGAGCAAAGACCAACTACTGAAGGCGGAGAACAAGCTCAAGAGGCAACCAGTGACTTGCAGTCTCATGGGCCACATCTGGGAAGGCTGCATGGGGAATAAGAGGACAGGCCTCACCATCCTGTTGCCCACCTGGATCAAGGCAACAGAAGCAGTCAGTTCAGGCATGAAGACCCTCTGTTCAAGGGACCCCTGCAGGCAGTAGCAGACACACCCTGGCTGAGCTACCTCCTAGCCAGCCAGCCTGGTGCCAGCTATAAAATGAAGAATGGGAACTGTCAGAAAAGGAGGCTCAGCCAGTCACAGGGGTCAAATGAGGGTGTGTGGGGGCTGTAGAGGTGGGTACAGAGGAGATGCTGCTCATTCTCCCACCCTGCCTCCCGCACAAGGTCCCCAACCTTGAAACAAACATCCCATTAGTGAGCCTTTTTATTGTGGTTTTTCTCTTTTTTTTAAATTGAAGGTCCCTTACTGGTCCTGCTTCCATGAGTGGCTGTGACCAGAGGAAAGGGGGGAGGGGAAGCAGGCGGCGCAGGGAGGGGTCATCTCCACAACATTCCATTTATACACAGAACTAAACAGACAAGCACAGAGTCACTATTGCGGTTAGAAGTTGGCAGCATGGGAAAGGGGAGGAACAGGTGGGGGACTGGGTGTCGTTAAAAAAAATACAGGCCCCCCCCCCAAACAGGGGTTCCTGGGCGGGGGAACTTGGTCTGTTTCAACCCAAGAGGAATCAAGATCAAAAGCGGTTTGGGAAGGCCAGAACCGTCAGGGGTGGAGGGAGAGGAAGGTCCAGGGGGTGGGGGGGGGGGGGCTGTTTGGCAACTGGGGTGAAGGGACTGCCCTCCCCCTGCTGGGATCCCCCCAGCCCCTCCGGTCTGGCAGGAAGGGGGCAGCCTGCAACCCCCGTGGGCAGGTCTGGGGCTGCCAGATGCTCCAGGCAGGGGGCTGGAGGGGGCTCACAAAGGCTTGCCCTCCAGGGAGATGACGGCGCTGCCCCCCAGCTTCTCTGCAAGGGTGCAGCGGTCCTTGACCTCTTCGTAGCAGTTTGCTTGTAATTCATGCTTGATCCCTGTGGGGAAGAAGGGGGAGCATCTGTGAGCAGGAAGGGTGGGGGTGGGGGGTGCTGTGGCTGGGAAGGAGCCAGTCTGAACAGATGGAGGGAACCAGGCTACCTTCCAGCAGGCAGGGATCTCCTGGGCCATGCCATTCACCCCACCCAGCAACCAAGGCCCGAGCACAAGGGCATATGGCACCAGCAGTGCTGGCCCTTACCCGTCAGCTTCTTCTTGATGGCGTCCTTGGAGCTGGCATAGATCATTTTGCTCTTAAGGGGTGCACACTCCGGGGCCCTGCAAGGAAACAGAATCAAGAGAACTTGCCTCCAAACCCAGCAAGTGCCCTCAGGCGATAAACTTCCAGAAACCCCCGAGCTGGGCCCGAGCACTCACGCTTTCATCAAGTTCCTCATTGACAAGTTTTTTTTTTTTTAATTACAACACCCTCCTCTGACACACAAGCGTCTGGATTAAGCCCGAGCCACAGACTTTCCTGTCCTGGGAAAGGGGGGTGGGGCAAAGATAGAGCAGGTGAAAGGGGAAAGTGCCTGCAAGAGGAGCTCACCAGAAGATGAACACCAGGTCCTCCTTCTTGCTCTCCTTGGTCTCGTAGGTTGCATCATAGAGGGCGTAGCGGCAGTCCTTGTCTGGCAGCATCTTGACAAAGGTGGCATAAGGGTCGTCTACCGTCTGGCCCACGTCACCCACCAGGATCTCCTTGCCCTCCTCCAGGATGATGTTCTTCTTGTCCTCACTCAGGCAGAAGAGCACCGCCTTCTTGCGCTTCTTCACTTCCTCTGGTGTTGAGGACTTACGCACTTTCATGTCGTTGAACACTTTGATGACCCCATCAGAGACAGCCACACCGGAGGCCTAGAGGATGAGCCACACGCACCTCGTAAGGAGAGTTCCCGGGACATGCCCTGAAGTCCCTCTTTTGCTTTCTTAGGAGATCTGTCTAAAGGCCAACAAAGCAAAGTCCTCAGCCCCAAGAGGTTACTACTAATCCCCTTCCCAGGACTAGTGGCACTATTTTCCCACCCAGGTCACCATCAAAGGATCAGATGTGACACAATCCCAGAATAGCAGCCAAAGAAAAAGGGACCTTTGATCACGTAATTCAACAGCATTCCTCTCCACCCCGACATCCTGCAGGCTAGAGATCCAAGACCTGTGAGAAGCAGAGCCTTGGCCAAGATGTGAGTCCAGAATTAAAAGAACCGACAGACTACTGACCCCGTTTTCTACGCAGTCTCAGCTTTTGCATAAAGTGCTGACTCAGAACTTCACGTACAGCAGAAAGGGACCCAGATCCTAGTCATCTCTATAGAACCAGGACCCACCAACGGTGCTCAACTGTTCTAGCAAGCCCATCAGCACGGTTCCAAGCAGTTATTACGCAAGGTATTCCCTTCTCTGCTGGGGTCTCCCCAGACCAAAGCAACAACAAACCCCTAATTAAGGCCCTACACGGGAAAATGCAGGCCCCCAAGTCGCTGATAGGAGTCAGCGGTCCAAATTCAAGTGCCCACAGTCTCTGAGAGCTCTTAAACTTATAGGTCGTGTTGGGAGACACCCTAGCCAGGAGAGGGAGTGACGGTCCACGGTGAAATCTGCCCCCGCTCCCGGAACTGCAGAGGAAGCCGGCCACGTGATTGAGCCGCTTCCGGAGTAGGCGGTGAAAGCAGATCGGCTAGTCAGCCCCCTCCCCGAAAAAAAACCTCGTACCCAGCGGCAGCTGCGCCTCGGAAGGCCTCAACCCATGGAATCGCCTGAGCCGACGACCTTATCGGCCCCCTGTGCTGCAGGCCTGGGCAAGTTACACAACCTTCGGCTCTCGCAGCCCTCGGGCCGAACACAGGGGACGGGGTGGTTTCCGGGCGGTGCCCGCCTGGGTCACTTCCCTAAACGCGGCTCCACCCTTAGGCCCCATCCGGGAGAGCCGAAGGCCCCGTTAGTCCACGGCTTCGGTCCCAACGGCCAGGCCTGACCGTGTGCGCACGCGCCGGCCGGGAGCGCCGTCCCAGTCTCCTCCGGGTGTACTCTGCGAACCCGGCTCGCCTTCAGGGGCTCGCTAGCCGGGGAGGACGGCCGAGATCTTCGCGGTCCACTCTGGCGCGCGGTGCAAGCCCCTGATCGTTGGCGCCTGCGCCAGGACACCCCCGCATCCCCCGCCAGCCGCGCCGCCCCCGCCCCTCGCGGGCATCCCTGCCACCTGCTCTCGAGACGGACCCCGCTCGAGAGGGAGGGTGACGCGGAGACAGGAACAGCCCTTGGGTGGGGCGCGCGCGCCAAGATCGCTCGCGCTCTTTTCCTCCGTCGCCCCCGGGCCAGGTTTGGATGCCGCGTATTCCAGTCGAGACGCGCGTCCCCGAGAAGTGACTCTTGGCGGCCCCGCCGCGGCGCGCGACGCCGGCGGCCCCGCGAGGGGACGGGCGCGCACGCGCCCTGGACCCCTCCCCCACGGCCCTGGGCCGCGCGGGCGCAGCAGCCGGGTGGGGGAGGGGAAAGGGAGCCCAGGGGGCGCGCGAGCGACGTCCGAGCCAGCCCTCCCCGGCGCCCGCGGGCGCGCACGCGCGTCCCGGCGCCGCCCGCCCCTCAGCACGAGACCCTCGTCCAGCCCCGGGAGCTGGGGGAGGGGGTGCCGACGTCGCGCCCCCGTTCCCTCTCGCGCGCCCAGATGATCGACTCGCGGCCGCCTCCCGCGCGGCGCCGTGGCCTGCGCTCACCATGTTTCCGGAAGCGAAAAGGCGATAGCGAGGAGAGCCTACGAGACAAGAGCCGCTGCAGCTGCTGCCGGGATCCGACTGAACGCGGCCTCTCCCGGCCCCTTCCGTTTAGTACGAGCCGCACAATGAGGGGCGGGGCGTGCTTCCGGGGCTCCCACTGCGGGCCGACGGGAAATGAAGTCCGAGGGCCCTGCGCTGTCTTCGGGCTCGCTGGGTAACAGAGTCTTTTTCGTCTGACGGCCGCCGAGTGCCACGTTGCATCCTGGGAAAGGTAGTCCGAAACAGCAGAGAGAGGCGGGGCTGTGGCACGGAGAGCGCTCCCGTAGGTCGAATTTCCCAGGAAATGCTCCGAGCTCAGCGAAGGCCTCAGCGTTTGGTAATAAGACCTGAGAATAAACCTTGGCTTCGCGGCTCTTTACCCAGTAGCGAAACGATTTTCCTAAGCTTCATCTTGGCACTTTCTGGATACCTTGGTAGGAAAAATTTCAGTGAGTTAGTATTTAAGTTTTCTGAATTGAAGCACCTATTTATTCTTTTTCCTGGGATCCAGTCCTAGAGCAAGGAGAATCGCCAAGTATAAGGCCCCTCCAATACAATAAGTATTCATGAAGCATCCTCCATGTTGTCTACTGAGAAAAGGTATATGCAATGTCAATAAACTGAGGAAAAAAAACACAAAGGGAAGGCTACAAGGAAATGTTTGGAAATAAGAGATTTGTGCCGAAAGGTGTTTGGCAAAAATAAAGGGAGAAGGGGGTTTGTGCATTCGATTCAAAGAGTATGTGCTTTTCTACTAGACAGGGAAAAGAGAAAATAGATATTAAACCAGACTTGAATTTCATTCTCGAGTTGGTAACCAGGCATATGGTAAATTAATACCCTCAGAAATTGAGACAGAAGTTCTGTGAAAGCATAACCTTCAAAATAAACCAAACTGGGTTGGGGGACTCCGGGAACATTTCGTCGGTCTCGAAGACTTTTTAGTCTGCAGGAAGAGAAAACAAGGTCCCAAACAGGAGGCCCGGGGCATTGATTTCACATGCAAAATAAAGGGTAGAACAATAAACAGCTGGAAGCCTGGTCTTCAGGAGCCGGCTAGCGACACCCGAGTGGCGTACGTCGCAGAGCATGCTGGGGGTTGTAGTCGGGGACATCCCGTCGCATCGCCCACCAACCGAGCTCCCAGGAGCCTCAGTGGGGGGCGCAGCTCGACCGCCGCCTCCGGCTAGAGATCGGCCGGAGATAAGGCTGGCTCCACCTTTTTAGAGTTTCGGAGTTTCCTAGAGCAACGAGGAGGGGGAGGGAGACTTCGCAGTTACCCTGGAGACGCGCTCCCGCCCGCCCCTAGCTGCGGGATGCCCTAGATGTCCTTATTAGGACAAGAGACTAGAGGAGGCGGGGCCAACCCGAAGGCCGGCGGCAGGCTCCTTATAAGGCAGCGTCGGGCGGGAGGCGGGAGTGTGGAGCGTGATAGCGGGTGAGAGATTGGGGCTGGGCGGGGCTTGAAAGGGAGGGCCTGGAGCCCCGGCGCTCGCCTCTCAGCTCCGCTCCGGTTCGGCCCCCGATCTGCATCTCTCCACTTCCGGAATAACCCCTGACTGCTGCTCTAACTCACTGAGTAGACTCGGGCTCAACTGGGACCCCTGTGCATAGTTTCCATTTTAACCTCCCTGAGGGTCCCCCACCTCCAACGAGTCACAAAAACGATGAAGTGTTTTCCTTTGTCCGAGCTTCTTACTCCCAGGCTGCCACCCCGAATCCAACAACGTGCCCATTTCAGCCCCTCTCATATCCCCCGATGTCTGGTGGTGGTGTAGTCGCTCAGTCGTGTCCTGACTCTTGCGACCCTATGGACTGTAGCCCACCAGGCTCCTCTGTCCATAGTATTCTCCAGGCAAGAATACTGGGGTGGGTTGCCATTTCTTTCTCCAGGGGATCTTCCTGACCCCAGGGATCGAACCCAGGTCTCCTGCACTGCAGGCCGATTATTTACGACTGCGCCCCCGATGTCTAGCACGTCCTATTTGTTCCCTTTCTACTTGTTCTCTGTCCCCTATTCTCTGTTCTCCAAGCTTTGAAGGGCTTCCCTGCGTGTCCCCGGCTTCACGGCCCTCCCCCGTAGCGCAGGGTGGAGGAGCCCCAGCTCAGGATAGATAACCGTTTCCCCGAAGGGTTCTTCAGCTCCTCTTGAGTTACCTTTGTGTCCTCATTCTCTGTACCCATTCTTAAAGTCCCTCCTACAAAACTACCTGCATGCATTTGTTCCCCCACCTGTAAGGCGAGTGCGGAGAAAAAGATAACGAGTCAGGTTCTCTACATGATCCTCCGCTATAGCGAGACTGAAGTCACCTCGGTACGCGCCGCCCCAGCCAGACCTCCCAGCCACAGGGGGCGCTGTCCACATTGCCCCCTCCTTCCCTGCACAAAGAGGACAACCCCTCGCTCTCGAATCTGTGGTGAGAGGAAGAGGCGGGTCAAGGCCTCGTAAAGGAGGAGGGGCGCGTCCTTAAAGGCTGGTCCTGTCCGGGAACGGCGGGAGGGCGAAAGGTGGTAGATAACAGCGATCGGTAGCAGCCACTTAAGAATAGTACAGGGGCGGGGAGGGCGGCAGAAGGCTGTCCTCTGGTTAATGCCTCGCGTGGGACCACGTGATTAGAGCGGTCCTGCCCTCCTCCGCCGGAACCTGGTGTTCGAATCCCGTCTCCAGAACTAGCAGCATTTCACTCCTACCAGCGTGAGGCGCCAAAGGACCCGCCCTGCGGCTCATGGCAGCGCCCGTCCGGCTGGGCCGGAAACGCCCGCTGCCTGTTTGCCCCAACCCTCTCTTCGTACGCTGGCTGACCGAGTGGCGGGACGAGGCAGCCAGCAGAGGGCGCCGCACGCAATTTGTGTTTCAGAAGGTGGGTTCTGGCCGGGCCGGATGGGGAACAGGTGCAGGCCAGGACGAACAGCCAGGCCCACCTTGACCCAATCCTGTACCCACTATCCCCGCCAGGCGCTGCGCTCCCTCCGGCGGTATCCACTGCCCCTGCGCAGCGGCAAGGAAGCTAAGATCCTCCAGCACTTCGGAGACGGGCTTTGCCGGATGCTGGACCAGCGACTGCAGCAGCACGAAGCATCAGGCGGTGAGCGCTGGGAGAAGGATTCGGTAATCCCCTGAGTCTCCCCCAGGTGCAGCTTTTGTACCCACCCAGGATACCTTGGCTTCTTCTGTCTACTCCAGTTCAAGTTGCTCTTTGACCTGGGGCTAATAGCTCTTTCAAGAGCCCGACCGCTCTCACCAACACTTGAGCCGGCAGCATCCTGCCTGCTGGATTCCAGGGTCCGGGTTTGACCCTCTTCTCTTCCCACAGGTGACCTGTGTTCACCATCCGGAACCAAGAGCCCAGCCCGGGAAAGGCCACCTGCTGAAGTCCAGGACCCTTCCATGCCAGTGAGGAAGGAGCAGGGAAGTAGAGGGGAAAGCAGGAGCTCCAGGAGTAACATTTTTCTGGCTTGGGGGATTTCGCTGTGCTGGGTCCTAATCCCACCTGGCTCCGGGCAAGTGACTTATTCTGTTTGATGCTTAGTTTTCTCATCTGTAGGTGTGGATAGTGATTTGTAATACAGTCAGTTGAGAGAGTTCCATGATCAAGCTATTCAGGGGGCTAAGCCCAGTAAGTTCTAGAATTTGCTGTTGAGTCTTCTTGCCTTACTTCCTCTGTCCTGTGCTAGAACTGAGGCTAGGCCAGGCAGATTACACCCCCACCCTAACCCCGTCCCCCGAGACTGTCCACCATCTCTTCCCAAGTTTGCAGATCATCCTGTCACATGACCTGTGTGACAAACTAGAGAGTTACAAACTAGTTACAAAAACTTGAGAGACAGCTGAGTGACGTGGGTTGTATTGTGCTTAATCGTTCAGTTATGTCCGACTCTTTGTGACCCCATGTATTGCAGCCTGCCGGGCTCCTCTGTACATGGGGATTCTCTAGGCAAGAATACTGGAGTGGGTTGCTATGCCCTCCTGCAGAGGATCTTCCCAACCCAGGGATCGGACCCAGGTCTCCCTCATTGCAAGCGGATTCTTTTACCATTTGAGCCACCAGGGAAGCCCCGCTGAGTGACTTGCCCAGGGCTATTTAGCCTGCTGAGATAGGACCTGAACCTCAGCTCTGCCAGCGATTCTGTCTGTAACAGCTGGTTGGTTTTGGGTTCAAAGCCCCCCTGTACCTTTCAGGTCCCAACCCAGCTCAAAGCAGGAGGCCCTGGCAGCTACTGGCCAGCTCGGCACTCGGGAGCACGAGCGGTCCTGCTGCAGCTATACAAGGAACACCTGGTGAGCGCCTGCCAAGCTAGGAGTTGGGGAAACAGGCGGTGGGGCTGCTGCTCGGGCACTGTGTTGATTATGTTTCTGTCTTGGTTACAGAACCCTAGCAGCCAGGGCTTCCTAACCAAGGAGGAGCTGTTGCAGAGGTGTGCCCCAAAGGTTTCCAGGGTAAGCACAGAGGGGAGAAAGGAGCCAAGTGGCTCTGGATCTGACCCTGAGTCCTCCAGAGGCTGCCCTTGGGAGAAAGCAGCGGCATGGGGCACGGGGAGTGGGCACATGGTAGACCTGGGCGCTCTGTAAGGGTCTCCTTCCCTGTGAACAGGTGGCCCCTGGAAGTGCTCGCCCCTGGCCAGCCCTCCGTTCGCTCCTCCACAGGAACCTCGTCCTCAGGACACACCAGCCGGCTAGGTGGGGCAAACGCCATGGCGTGCGGGAGGCAGGGCGGGGGAGGAGGCATGCCGTGCTGAGGGTAGCCGTGCAGTCGGAGATGTGCTTGTTGTCAGCCTGAGGAACGGCCCTGGGCAGGTCCAGGGGAAGCTGATCTGAGGGGCGAGAACTCGGCTGGAAGGAGGGAGGTGGGGGGGCCCGGGACTTGTTTGTAAAAGGTCGCCAAGGTGGGTGAGGCCAGCCTAGCTGGGGGCCCGGCAGGAGAGCCTGCCAGGCATGAGTGAAGAAGGGAGATGTGTGTTCTTCTCCACCCACCAGGTACTCACTAACCCCGGAGGGTCTGGAGCTGGCCCAGAAGCTGGCTGACTCAGAGGGCCTGAGCTTGCTGAATGTGGGCAGCGGGCCAGAGGAGCCCCTTGGGGAGGAGTCTGAAGTGCCAGGAGCGGCTTCAGCTGAGCTGTGAGGAGGAGGGAGTGAGGGGGAGAACAGGGGAGCAGGAGGGGTCCCCGAAATGAGGCCAAGACCCCACCCTATTTCCAGCAGCTCCAGCTGAGCTGTGGCTGCCCCGCATTCTGTGGGTTAGGGGGACAGCAGCCCTGGCCTGGCTCAGGCCAGCATTCACCTCTTCTCCCTGGTAGTGGCACCAGCGAAGGGAGCATCCAGCAGCCCCTCCTGGAGCTGGGGCCTGGAGAGTACAGGGTGGTGTTGTGTGTGGACGTCGGTGAGACCAAGGGGTGAGTGAGGTGGGCCTGGGGAGGGAGAGGGTCGGGGAATGGCCGACGCTGACTCGGGCCTCCCACCGTGTAACTCCAGGGCGGGCCACAGGCCAGAGCTGCTCCGAGAGCTGCAGCGGCTACACGTGACGCACACGGTGCGCAGGCTGCACGTCGGGGACTTCGTGTGGGTGGCCCAAGAAACCAGTCCCAGAGACCCAGGTAGGGGATGTGGACACGCAGGTGGAGGTCAGAGGCAGGGCATGGTGGGTGAAGAGCTGTGAGCTAACAGGACCCTTCTTGGCCTCTGGGCAGCACGACCTGCAGAGCTAGTCCTGGACCATATCGTGGAGCGAAAGCGGCTGGACGACCTATGCAGCAGCATCATCGATGGCCGCTTCCGGGAGCAGAAGGTCCGTCACGGGGCTCACTGCCCCTGCCTGCTCGGGGGCACTTCCGGGTGGTCTCCAGGCAGAGCTCCTGCAACTCAAGCCACATCCCCTCTCAAGCTGGTTCAGGGTGGCCTGAACTCAAACTCCCTTGGGCCCCTCTGGGCACACAGTAGGTGTGCAGGGTCTCTGGGCAGAGCTGAGGAGCATGTTAAGGACCCCTAGGGGGTCCAGCTCTTGCAGTCCAGGGTTGACAAGGCTCTCCTCTCCAGGATGGGGCCGCAGGGGCTGTGTTTCCGTGCTGGCTGCTGGGCTGGCCCCACAGTGAAGCCACGCGTAGGCCAAGGGAGGCTTGAGAGGGATGGGCATCACTCAGATGGTGGTGGGGCTTTCCATGCGAGAGCAGCAGTGTGAGCCAGGGTGTGGAGGCCCCTCTGAGGCAGGTGGAGAAGCTCGGGAGGATGAGGTGGCGGGCGAACTGGTGGGTCCAGGGTCTCGTGATGGTTTTGAGGGAGACATGACAGACACCTAGCGTATGAGCTTCTAGGCCTGACCTGCCCGACCCCCATCTGCCTGCCCAGTTCCGGCTGAAGCGCTGTGGTCTGGGGCGCCGAGTGTACCTGGTGGAGGAGCATGGTTCTGTGCACAACCTCAGCCTTCCTGAGAGCACACTGCTGCAGGCTGTCACCAACACCCAGGTGAGCCGGGAGGGCGGGGCCGGGCCGGGCGGCAGGGAGCCTGTGGCCCGTGACTCCGCTCAGGAGCTGCCTCCTCCCTTGGCTCCCCTTCCCCAGGTCATCGACGGCTTCTTTGTGAAGCGCACAGCGGACATTAAGGAGTCGGCTGCCTACCTGGCCCTGTTGACACGGGGCCTGCAGAGGCTCTACCAGGTGAGCAGACCCCAGCGGGTTCCATCTGTCACCACTGGCCCCTCACTTGGATGCTGTACTCCCTCAAGGAAGGCGAGCAGACCGAGTCCCCTGGTCTCAGGCTGGCCCACTGAGGCCTGGGTTGGGGCAAGGCCTGGCTGCTGGTGTCCCCAGAGCTCGGGCCTGGCCTCAATCTCCTCTTCCCTCAGGGTCACGCCCTCCGCAGTCGCCCCTGGGGCACCTCTGGGGACCCGGAATCAAAGGCCAGGCCCTCCCCAAACCCTCTCTGCTCACTCCTCACCTTCAGCGACTTCAACGCGGGAGCCATGAAGAACAAGGTACCGCCTCTGCCCAGCCCCTCCTCCTCCCAGGCTCCGGCCCTCCGCCGTCCTGATACAACACTGCCCCCACTACAGGCCCAGTCCGTGCGGGACGTGTTTGCCAGGCAGCTCATGCAGGTGCGCGGGGTGAGCGGGGAGAAGGCGGCGGCCCTGCTGGCTCGGTACAGCACCCCTGCCAGGTAGGTACTCACGGGACCCCGTCCCCTGCTGTCCCCCGCACCCACCCTCGGCATGGTCATCAGCTCAACCAGTGCCTCGTGGCTGGTCAGGTGCTATGAGGGCTGGACTGACCCCGCTGACACCCGAAGAGTTCATGGAGGTCAGATGGTGAGGAAGACAGAGCCACCCAAGACCAGACAGAATCTCAGGCATTGCCGGGGGGGGGGGGGGGGGTGTCGGAGAGACCTGGTATGTAGCAGAGAAGGCTTCCTGGAGGAGGGGGTGGACCATGAAGACTGGGCCAAGAATAGCCATTCTGGGAAAACATTTGCAGGAGCATGAAAGGAGGGTGAGCAAGATGGAGCAGGGCCTTGAATGCTGGGTTCGGAAGGGTGGCGGTGGTCCTGACTCCTCTCACCCAGGCTGACCCCTTCTAGCCTGTCTCCTGTGATTCTGGCCCGAGCCACTCAGGGTGGGCCAGCAGTCAGCTGTTGTCAAGACTTAGAAAATCAAACTTTCCATCCCTCCCTCAGCTTACTGGCCGCCTATGATGCCTGTGCCACCCCGAAGGAACAGGAAATGCTGCTGAGCACCATCAAGTGTGGGCCGCTGCAGAGGTGAGAGCAGGAGATGGAGCCTGCAGGGGGTAGGTGGGCTGCGGTCACCCTCGCCCACCGGACTCTTACCTGCCTCTCTCTCTGCACAGGAATCTGGGGCCCGTTCTGAGCAGAACCTTGTCACAGCTCTACTGCAGCTCTGGTCCCCTGACCTGAGCTGTGCCACAGGACAGACTCCCATCTGCCCCCATCTTCCCAGACTACCAGTCTTCTAACCAGAATTTTTGGGCTACAGTAAAAATCTTAAATGTTTGCATTTTTATGTGTTAGAAGGAGGCCCCAGGGGTCTTGAAAGATATCCAGGTAAGAACAGGGGAGACAGTCATGTCCAGTTTTTAAACTGAGCTCCTCGGGACCCTTTTGGTTCCCTTTCAGAGGACTGAAACTGCTAGGGAGATGGAGTCAGTGAGGCGTTGCAACGTTGACTCTAGTTCATGTCATCAGAGTTCTCTGATCAAATAAATTTCCTTTGATGAGAAGTTCTGTAGCTTGGAAAAGAAAAGTTTATAAAGCGCTAACAATCCAGTGGCCTCATTTTACGGATTGGAACACTGAGACTCAGAGAGCTGCTAGGATTTCTCCACACTGATAGTTTGAGCCCAAGCTGGGATGGAAACCCAGGGCCTCCTGGCACTGTCTAGAGCAGGATTCTTCAGGCCTGCTGCAGACCAGCCAAGTCCAAGTTTTTGGGCTGGGGCCTGGAGTCTGCAGCCTCATTACCTCCTCCCTTCTTGGGTGATTCTGGTGCCCATGGTATGTAGGCCAGTCCCAGCCTTGGGGGTGCAGCTCCCAGCTCCTGTCAATGGGGCCCTTCAGCCTGGGCAGAAACACACCCTGCCTTTAGGTGGGCGTGGCCTGCCTCCTGTTAAGTCTGGCCTTTCCCCACTCTGGGGTTCACTGCAGTGTGACCCACCCACCTCAGCCACCAGAACTCCTTCTTTCTCCCTTTATTGCCTTTCTCTCTCTACTACCCTTCACAAGAGCATCTTCCCTTTTAGCAGAACACAGTCATCCCTGAGCCCCAGGCTCCTCAGCTACAGAGAACCTCCCCTTCCCTGAGGGCCCCCCACCCCTCAGAAGGTGTAGGCCCCCACGAAGACGGTGAGTCTCAGTACAGAGCTGGCCCGGTAGCTCATGAGGGAGTTCATGGTGACCATCTCCAGGTCCAGCACGTACTCCCGGGGGCCTGTCACAGGCCGCGCGAGGACCAGCATGGCGCTGACATTGTTGATTTGCTGCGGGGTACAGTGGGTAGGGGGGGACATGTGGATTGCATCAACGTACGCACCCAAACCCTACCCCCGCATCACCTCCCTGCCCCGTGTCTGGCACCCACAACCAGTTGGCTGCACAGTGGAGAGTGCCCCGGCCAGCCTGCGACCCCCTTGACATCGGCACCCTGCCCCCAAGAAATACCCTTCTGGTGCTCTGCCTGCCCTTTGCAGCTAGTTCTTTTGTCAGCCACGGTCAGCTGATGATTCAAGGCCTGGGGTAAGATTCTTGGGAACAGTGGGGCCTTTAGCAACTGGGGCAGGTAGACTCACCTTCAAAATACTCAATTCCAGGACAAAAAAGCCAGCACTGGTGCCAGACAAAGCCTTAGGGCCCTCACTGTGAGTCCCATCTGGACCGCTCCCTCAGCTCCACCAGCCCGGAGCTGGAGTCTCAGGCCCCAGGCTCTGTACTAGCCCCTGCTGCCTCTCTCCCTCTAAGACCCAGCTCCACTTGCCTGCCTTCCCACACTCTGCTGCGTGTGTTACCTCCGGCCTCTTCAGCCGTCCCTTATCCTAAGGGTGAAGCTATCCAAGCCGGATACGCAGACCATTACAGGGACTCAAACCCCAGTGTCCGAGCGCCTTGCTAGGATTGCATTTAACTATCTGTCGTTTGTACCAATTTATAACACTCCTACCTTTCTATAGAAATTGACCCCTGGGGTTGGGGGGACTTTCAGAGGAAAGGCAGGGTATGGTGGCATAGTTGAATCTTCCACTTAAGGTTTCCTGGAACTCAAGTTGGGAATTATGCAAGTCACTTGAGAGGTGGTGTTAGGGAGAGCCTTACCCTAATGTAGAAGTCTCCCTGCGAGTTTCCAGCACGGATCTGAAAGGCATTGTAGGCACCAGGGTAGACGGAGGTTGCTTGGATTTGGAATACATCCGCCGGTACGCTCCGTTCCGAGGTGATGCTCATATAGCGGTGCACGATGGATGAGGGCTGCTCCCGGCACAGGGGGTTGGAGGCCGGACAGAGACAGCGACTGGAGACCCCAAGATGGGGACACAAATGAGGTTCTAGCCCATCTCCCAAATTTGGTCCATCCCACCCAAAATCAAGGATCTTCCCACTCCTGCTAGAACAGCATGTGTGGTTTAGTCATGAAGGACTACAACTCCCATCAGCTTTCAGAACTTGCCAGTCCAAATAGGTGCCAGGCAGCCGCAGAGCTCTCTGGGAGTTGTAGTTTCTCCCGTGGCCTGGCGTGGAGTTGACTCACTTGTCGGACACCTGGACGTAAGGCTCCACGCAGCGGTTGGTGTCCACACAGCGGTAGCCCCCATGGAAGTTGACACAAGTCTGGGCCTCAGAGCACTGGTGCACACCCGACTCACACTCGTCAATGTCTGTGCCAGGGGAGAGGGGCTGGAACCCAGGTACCAAGCCACCAGCTCCTCACGCCACCCTGCCCACTCTACCCGGGCAACCTGTACCTTGGCACAGGCGCGTGGCCAGCAGCTGGTAGCCCTGTGGACAGTGGCAGGAGAAGCGGCCTGGCTCGTTGACACAGCGGTACTGGCAGAGGTAACTGGAGTAGCTGCACTCATCGATATCTGGGGGAGGGTGGGGCTGAGGACAGGGCCGGGGCCGGCCTCCCAGCTCAGCCCCACACGGGCTCATCTAGAGAGCCTGGCCTCAGGTTAGGCTCAGTACAAGAAGAGGCAGAAGAGATAAACCCTGCAGCTCAGCAGGGGACAGAGGGTTTAAGAACCGACTGCCCAGGGGACTTCCCTGGTGGTCTGGTCGTTAAGAATCAGCCTGCCAATGCAGGAGAGCACAAGTTCGATCCCTGGTCCAGGAACTATGACCCCACATGCCCCAGGGCAACTGAGCCCATGTGCCACGTGTGCCCTCGCACCCTAGAACCTGTGCTCTGCAACAAGAGAAGCCATCACAATGAGAAGCCCGTGCACCGCAACTACAGAAAGTCCTGGCAAGCAACAAAGACCCAGTGCAACCAAAAATAAATAATTTATTTTTAAAAATGCACTTTTCAATGCAGGGGATGCAGGTTCGATCCCTGGTCGGGGAACTAAGAACCCATATGCCACAGAGCAAGTAAGCCAGCGGGGCTCAACTACTGAGCCCACGCACCACAGACCCATTGCTGCCAAAAGAAAAAAAAAAGACTGCCCCGCTCACAGACCTGTCTCTGCCCCAAGACTAAGATAATACTAAATGAGAGGACTGGGAATCTGGAGGTTTGGCTTTAAATCCTACTGACTGAGTTTGAGGAACCTCTGCTTCCTTTCAGTAAGTAAGTGGATTAGGCTGGATGAGCCCTTGACACATCCCAGACTGCTCTGGGTTTCAACACTTTGCCTGATTCCTGCAACCTATGATCCACCCAAGCACACAGTCACCTCCTGCCAACTGTGAGCAGTGCAGGCCAGAGCCAGGTTTTCTCCTCTGTGCCCTTTATGCTGCCCGGCACCGAGCCAGGTACCAGTCGGGCCTTAACTTGGCAGCAAAGTACAAAGCTTAACAGAAACAGGGTACATGGCTAGTTGACAGGGAGAGAAAGAGAGCCCAGGCCCCACCTCACCCCAGCTACATGACCCTAGGCAAATCACTCAACCTCTCGTTGAAATATTTTATTTTTTATAATTGTCCCCCCAAAAAACTTGAGGGAGGTATTAATGTCAATTTGCAGAGAAGGAAAAACTCATATTTATTTCATTAGGATGTGAGATAAATACTTTGGCCACCTGATACGAAGAACTGACTCATTGGAAAAGACCCTGATGCTGGGAAAGATTGAAGGCAGGAGAGAAGCACCCGCTCAATGGACATGAGTCTGAGCAAACTCCAGGAGACAGTGAAGGACAGAGAAGCCTGGCGTGCTGCAGTCCATGGGATTGCAAAGAGCTGGACACAACTTAATGACTGAGTAACAAGAAGAACAGTCTCACAGGATTGCTGGCAGACTGCACAGGGCAGGTTCTCAATAAATGCTCATTCACTTTGTAAAACGTTGCTGCTTGGACAGTATAAGGTCTTCCTGTTGTCATTTTCTCATTTAATTCTCAAGACAACCCATTCTACAGAAGAAGAAATGGACTCAGAGAGAAGAGTGACTTGCCCTGGTCCAGGATTTGCTGATATAGCCTGACTCCCAGGGACAGAGGCACCTCCATCTTTGCTCAGTCTCTCTGCTGAGCTTCAGTGGGGACCTAACTGCTCCCCTCCGTGCCTTCCGCAGCAGGCTGGGAGTTCTGGTGGGCAGCTCTGAGGGTGCCTTGCCCCCTGCTGGGGTGGGGTACACAGGAGGCACATGGGTGCTGGGTGGATGGGACATAGAGGCATCAAATGGAGAGCTGTGTGGCAAGAGGCTAGGCATGCACAGGGCCTGGGGAACCAGCAGAAGCCAGTGGAGACCAGTGGGGAACCAGTGTCGGGGGTGGAGCGCTCACCACTGCAGGAGAAGCCGTCCCGGTGCAGCTCATAGCCCTGGTGGCAGCGACACAGGAAGGTCCCATAGGAGTTGAAGCAGCGCTGCTCACACGGAGCCCCCATGTCACATTCGTTCACATCTGGGGGTGCCAGGAAAACGGGGGAGGGGTGAAAACCAAGGAGCAGCCCAGAGCCCCCACTGCACCTGTGCTGATCAGAAAGGGAGTTCCCCCGCCTCACACCCCTCTGCCCAGGACCCCGAGCCTGGCCCAGCCCAGCCTCACCCACACAGGAGCGGTTGTTGGGCCCCAGCTGGAAGCCCGGCTCACACTGGCAGCGAAAGGAGCCAGGCAAGTTCACGCAGCGGTGCTGGCAGTAGCGGTACCGACACTCGTCTATATCTGGGATGCAGGCAGGAGAAGGACAGCGGAGGGCAGAGTCAGGTGCCACCCAAGCCAGCTGGGACCCCGCCTCATCACCCACTGTCTTGCCTGAGTCTGGGGGGCTGGGCCGGGCCAGATCGGGCAGGACTCACACATTACACGCATACAGCTCTGTGTCTGGTGACTCAGGCAGAGGTGGCAGGGGGCGGGGGTGAAACCTGGGGATGGGTTGGAATGGGGGTCAGGCGCTGGGGTGAGAGCCAGGCCACGGGCACAGACTTACCCACACACTCGGGCCCAATCTTGCGATAGCCGTCGGGACAGGTACACTGGTAGGAGCCAGGCAGGTTATGGCACTCCTGGCTGGGGCGGCAGTCGTGCAGGGCCTGGGCACACTCGTCCACGTCTGCAAGACACACCACTCAGCCCCCGCCTGGGAGCCCGTGCACCACCCAACACGACAAGACTCCTCCACATGGGAGGACACGGGTCAGGTACCACTCACATGAGTGTGTGGGTGACTGACACCCCCAAAACAGGAACATGTGGGCCCATCGCCCAACAGCACAAATAAGAGTCTACTAGCCCGGAGCTAAAGAGAAAGGAGCCCCTAAGTGGGGAGACCCCAAGTCAGGGATACATAGGACAAAGCCCTGCCCATACTCCCAGGGGCACTGATTCCAGGCCCTTCCTCCAAGGTCCCTGCCTCCCAGGGGTGGGGTCCAGACCCGGAAGGGCCAGAGCAGAGGCTGAGGGCAGAGCTCTTGCAGGGCATCTGCAGCAGTTGAGGTGGGGGTTCCACAGGGGGCTGAGCAGAGGGATGGGCAGAGGAACTGGGACCACCTGTGGCAGGTAAGGACCTGGGCAAGGGTCTGGATGTTACCCCAGTGCCCTGAGGAAGCTTTGGAGCAAGGGAGGAACACAGGGTATGAGTTTTTAAAAGGCAGTGCTAGACACCTGTTAAGAAGATTGGCAGCCTACTCACCCACGCAGCTCTCTTGCTCGTCGGGCTCATAGCCCGGGAGGCAGGGGTGGGGGTGCTCGGCAGGGGGCACGGGCGGTGGGGGCCCCTCTCCATGTAGGTCATTGATGACAGCAGCCGAGCGGGGCAGGCACAAGTAGCCCCCGTAATGGTTGATACATTTCATTTCCCCCTTGCAGGCCTCAGGAATGGTCAGGCACTCATTGACATCTGCGGAGAGGGGCCTGCTGGGCACAGCCAGTCTCCAAGGGTGGGCCGTGGAGGGCAGGGGAGGCAGGAGCCCAGTTCAGCCTGCTCTAAGCTGTGTGATCCGCCAAGGCCTTCCCTCTCTACTCCAAAAGCTAAGGCTGCCTGCCTGGGACTCCTTCCTGGAGGCTGCCAGGGCTGTTCCCTGCCCCTGGTGGGGCAGCTGTTCCCACGATCACCCCCATTCTCTTGCCCACAAGAGGGTCTCTATCCCTCCCTGAAGCTTCTGCCCTGGCTCAGCCTAAGAGTAATGTGCAGGCCTCCTGACCGCGCCCCCGCCCCGCACTGCTCGCCCAGGGCCATGATGATGCAGGGCGAGATAGCAGAGTGATTAGATGAGGTGTCCAGGAACCAGTCCTGTGGGCAGCGCCCTGTTGGTCTCTGGACTCGAGGGGGTGGCTGGGGGGAAGGGTGCCCCATGTTTCTCTGAGGGGGAGGGGCCTGGATGGCTTTTCTACCCTGAGCCAAGCTGGCCCCCTGAGAACCAGAGCAGGTGACATACGGCCAGGCAGAGCAGGGCAGGGGACAGCCACAGGGCTCCTGCAGCCTCTCTAGGAGCTGGGCTTTGTGATCCCCTTTCCGGTTCTCGGGGGCAGGTCGGCCCCCAAGCATACTTACCCCTGCAGTGCTGGCTGTCAGGGTCCCACTCATAGCCATCTGTGCATTCCTACAAGGGGAACCAGAGGTGGCCAGTGGTCACCCCTGGTCCTCTCTAACTGACCAGGCCGAGACCAAGGCCCAAGCCCGGCCACCCTCCCGGCCTGCTCCAGACAATGGCCCCAGCAGCTCCACCAACCAAGGGAGGGCACAATCTTCCCCAGCAGCCGCTACCCCAGGATCCTGGCCTCGGTGTCCCTGCCCAGCCCAGCCCAGGCCAGCGGCCCCACTGTCCCCACCGTGTAGCTGTCGGGCTCCTCGGAATCCTGGGGAGACGCTGCTCCCAAGAGCAACAGCAGCAGCGCCCAGAGCAGTAGAGACCCGGGGAGGCAGGAGGCGAAGGGGAGCATCCTGGGGCTAGGAGGTGGTGGGCAGGGGTCAGGGCACCTCTGCCAAAGCAACCCCCAAACCCTGTGCCAGGACTTCGAGTCCCAGCCCCTGCCGCCTCCCGCCCGGGACCGCGCTTGGGGCCCCGGAGCCTCCCTGGGCCGAGGGCCCACTCCTCGCGCGGGCCGGAGTTCAGGGCCCACTCGCCTGGGGCCGCCCCGCCCCCGCCCGGTCCCTCTGTGGCTCCGGCCGGGGAGCGCGGGCCTCTCGGCTCCTTGCTGACGCCGACTCGGCCTAGACTTCTGGCTCGCGCCCTCCCGCCACGGACGGCCACTCACTTGGGCCCACGACGGCCCTGCGGCCCGCGGCTCCGGAGGCTCGGCTGGCTTCGGCAGTGCCTGCGGCAGACGGACAGGCGGACGGCGCAGCTCCCTGGACGCGCGGCCCCAGGAAGCGCCCCCCGCCCGCCCGCCCGCCGCGGCGCGGCCCACCCCGGCGCCTCCGCCCGCCCCTCAGCGGATTCCTGAGCCCGCGCCAGGGGGAGGGACCCCGACCCCCCGCTTCTCCGCCCCCGGCCGGCCGCAGGCCCCCACCCGGTCCCCCGCGGCGCCGCCCGGAGCCGCCTCCCGGCGCCTGGCCAGGGTCGCCCAGCGCTCGATCCTGGGGGCATTGGCCTTGATGCGGGGCCCCCGGCTCACTTAGGAGTCCGCAGGCTTTCACTGTGCGCACCCCAAAATGTCATCCTACGCACCTAGACCCTACCTAATCTGTGCCCCAGGAATTCTTGGGCACCCACACCTCAATGCCGGGGGCCCCAGACTCTGCGCCTCCCAGAATGTCACCCTGGGCACCTGGACCCCACCAAATAATCCTGGGACTTCCGGATTCTCACTCCGCACCCTCCGGAATATGATTCTGGACACCTGGACAGTCACTCTGGAAATACCGAAACTTCGTTCAGGGTTCCCAGACCCTCGCCCTAAGAAGAGATGCTCTCGGGTCCAGAACTGTCCATCTCGGTCCCTCTCCCCTCCATCCCCAGGGTTGTCGTTAGCCAGGCGGTCCCTTCACTCCAGAACTGCCTCCTCCGAGTCCTCAGTCCGCGAGACTACATCAGATTGGGGCGGGGGCGGCAGTTCACATTTGGCCGAGAATGAATGGAAGCCCCTGAGAAGGCGGGCAGGGCTGAACTCGGGCGTGCTGGACGCCAGGGTCAGGGTCCGGTGCCCTCGCCTTTCTGGCCATCCTCCCGCCAGCGTCCCCCACTACCCACACACCCCGCCCCCAGTCCCCGGGTTTGTGCCTACTCCCGAAGCAGCGGGAGAGCCTTAAGGGGCGGGGTTTGGGCGGAGCTGGCTCCCAGGAAGGGGCGGGGTCTTGCCCTGCCTACGTCTCAGGGCGGGGCCAGACGGGAAAGGGCTTGCGTGTCCAGGGATCTCCCTGCTGGAGGCAGGCGGCGTGCGGGAAATGCCGAGTTCTCGGTTCCCTTTCCCACCCGTGTTTATCCTCACACACGCCCCCATTAGCAGCCCTGCCCGGTGAGTAGGGGAGGACGTGCCGGTGGGTCCTCGGATGAGCCTTCAGGATTCACTGTGAACTGCAGAGCACCCTCCCACCTCCAAATTCTTCCCAGCCCCACCACCCGCCAGGGGTGGGGGAGAGGAGGCTAAAAATAATAAGTCTTTAAAACCCAAAAGACAGTAACAAGTGCTGGAGAGGATATGGAGAAATTGGAACCCTCACACTATGAGTGGGAATGTAAGATGCGGCGGCTGCTATGGAAAACAGTCTGGCAGGTCCTCAAAAATGTTAGCACATGACCCAGCAATTTCACTCCCAGGTGTACATACGCAGGGGTATTGAAAACATGTGTACACACACACACACAAATCTGTACACAGTGTTCACAGTGACACTATTCATAAGCGTTGAAAATATAGAACCAAAGGAATGTTCATCTATTGATGAAAGGAGAAACAAAAAATGATATGATAGAATATTCAGTTCAGTTCAGTTCAGTTGCTCAGTCGTGTCCGACTCTTTGCGACCCTTTGAACCGCAGCATGCCAGGCCTCCCTGTCCATCACCAACTCCCGGAGTCCACCCAAACCCATGTCCGTTGTGTCGGTGATGCCATCAAACCATCTCATCCTCTGTCATCCCCTTCACCTGCCCTCAATCTTTCCCAGCATCAGGGTCTTTTCAAATGAGTCAGCTCTCGGCATCAGGTGGCCGAAGTATTGGAGTTTTGGCTTCAACATCAGTCCCTACAATGAACACCCAGGACTGATCTCCTTTAGGATGGACTGGTTGGATCTCCTTGCAGTCCAAGGGACTCTCAAGCATCTTCTCCAACACCACAGTTCAAAAGCATCAATTTTTCGACGCTCAGCTTTCTTTATAGTCCAACTCTCACATCCATAGGTGACTACTGGAAAAACCATAGCCTTGACTAGATGGACTTTTGTTGGCAAAGTAATGTCTCTGCTTTTTAATATGCTATCTAGGTTGGTCATAACTTTCCTTCCAAGGAGTAAGTGTCTTTTAATTTGATGGTTGCAATCACCATCCACAGTGATTTTGGAGCCCAGAAAAATAAAGTCAGCCACTGTTTCCACTGTTTCCCCATCTATTTGCCATGAAGTGATGGGACCGGATGCCATGATCTTAGTTTTCTGAATGGTGAGCTTTAAGCCAACATTTTCACTCTCCTCTTTTACTTTCATCAAGAGGCTCTTTAGTTCTTCCTCACTTTCTGCCATAAGGGTGGTGTCCTCTGCATATCTGAGGTTATTGATATTTCTCCCGACAATCTTGATTCCAGCTTGTGCTTCCTCCAGCCCAGCGTTTCTCATGGTGTACTCTGCACATAAGTTAAATAAGCAGGGTGGCAATATAATGATAGAATATTATTCGACCATAAAAAGGAATGAAGTACTGATATGTGCTACAACATGGATGAATCTTGAAAATGACACTGCTTGAAAGAAGCCAGACACAAAAGGCCACATATTCCATTTATATGACACAACCAGAATAGGCAAATCTGAAAAACGAACTAGTGTTTGCCAGGGAAGAGGAGAATGTGAGAAAGACTTCTGACGGGTATGGGATTTCTTTTGGAGTAATGAAAATGCTCTGAAATTAGACAGTGGTGATGGTTGCATAGTTATGCAAATACATGAAAAATCACTGAATTATCTAAACACTTTAAAATGGTGAATTTTATGGTACGTGAATTATACCTCCATAAAACTTTATTTTATTGATTTATTTAGACTGTACTGGGTCTTCACTGCTGCCTGAGGGCTTTCTCTAGTTGCAGTGAGTGGGCTTCCTGCTGCGGGGGCTTCTCTTGTTGCAGAGCACAGGTTCTAGAGTACCACGCTTCGGTAGTTGCAACTCCCAGGCTCTAGGGCATAGGCTCAATAGTTGTGGCTGATGGGCTTAGTTGTCCTGCAGCTTGTGGGATCTTCCCAGGCCAGGAATTGAACCTGCATCTCCTGCATTGGCAGGCAGATTCTTAACCACTGGGCAAGCAGGAGCCTAAAGCTGTTATTTTAAATCTCCAGCTCTGGGGGTGACGGGTGGGGAGCCCTTAGTCGTAGATCACACACGGCTAAAACCAGCTTGGGACACATGACTGGGGACTAGAACCATGGAGCCAGGTACCCTTCTGTAGAGTCTGTCTACTGCATTTTTCCAATTTATTTATTTATGGCTGGGCTGGGTCTTTGGTGCTGCGTGCGGGCTTTCTCTAGTTGCAGTGAGCTGGGCTTCTCTCCTTTGTGGTACACAGGCTTTTCATTGAAGTGGCTTCTCTTGTTGCAGAGCACAGGATTTAGGTGCACGGGCTTCAGTAGTTGTAGTACATGGGCTCAGTCGTTTTGGCTCCCCGGCTCTAGAGCACAGGCTTGGTAGTTGAGGTTCGCAACGTTAGTTGTTCCTCTGCATGTGGCATCTTCCTGGATTCTGGGGATTGAATCCATGCTCCCTGCATTGGCAGGCAGATTCTTATCCACTGAACCACCAGGGAAGTCCTCTACTGCATTTTAATAAAGTCAGCATCATTCTCTCTTTTTTTTTTCCCCAGGGGAGACCCTTGGCTTACTACATGGTTTGAGTGTGTCTGTGGGGGGGTGTGTGTGGGTGAGGAAAAAGGGACCTCACGGCTTTGGGAAGATTCCCAATGATCGAAGAAATGAGGTAATCAGCACATGAATGAATGGATCTCTTCCCCTGCTCCCATCCCCATGGAAACCCTGGAAAACCAGTTTTTTTCTCGCCTGTCTCTGGTCTTGGACGCTGGTTCCCAGACTGAAGGTCCATGTGAAAGCCCCCGAACCCAAGGACCCACATCAAGGCACAAGTGACAGGTGTTAACACCCCTGCCCAGGCCTTAGCCTCTGGCCTGGCTCTGTCTGAGGTGCCAATCCTGCTATCCTCCTGCCCCCTGAGGCTCATTCACATGCCTCCTCCCCTCCCCGTTCCCAGACTGTGACAAGAAGGAAGAACAGAGGAGGTTGTAGCTGCCACTTGCTGTCCCCTGGACCCTGAACGTTTCTGGTTAAAAAAGACGACTAATCACTAAGCCAGCAAATCCCCCCGAGCCAGCTCTGCGTGCGGCCCCTTCCTGGGTGCTGAGGATACAAGCAAGGCAGACACATCCGGTGTGGCTGGGAGGCAGACGGCCAGTAGACGTAGGCAGCCCAGGGGTTCAAGGGGCTGCAGGTTATACCACAGGATAGGCGCGCTTCTTGGGGTGACGCCTGAGCTGACTGAGCTTTGTACTAGGATGAGCAAGAATGCTTCCTGGGGGGTACTGACCACCATTCACACCACCCCCCATCATTAGGGCTTGTGGCTCCCATAGCCCCGTTTCCCCCTCCAGGCACCAATGGCCCTATATTAGCATTTGCCCACTTAGCATCTGTCTCCTCCTGTCCTCTTAAGGCCAGATCCATCTCCACATCCTTAGGATTGCCCAGGACAGGGTTGGCAGAGAGCTTCTGCCGAATAAAGACAGGAGGGGAAGTGGGGTACTGGCAGGCAGGGGCCGTGCAGGGACAAAAGCCTGAAGCCCTCTTGTGTATGTGTGTGTGGGGGTCCTCCTCCCCCTCCCGACCTGGTTTCCCTTTTGTGGTTTCTCCAGCTCCACCCTCTCAGCCCCTCCACCTTGATCTGCAGTTTCCTGCCCCAGACACTCCAGTCTGCCGCATCATGGCACCAACTGTCCATCTCTCCTGCCTTCTGGCCCTGCTGGTGGCAAGCTTGGCTCAAGGCATCAAGGGCTCCCTCAGGGACCAGGTAAGTGTCCCCAACTTTCTCCCATGCCTGGGGCTCACCCTGGCAGAAACAGGGCTCTGTTCCTATTTCTCAGAGGGAGCGACTGAGACTGAAGGGATGATCCATGTGCTCAGGCCCACACAGGGAGAAAAGCGGGTGAACCGGCTGCTTCCCTAGTCCAGTCCCAGCTCAGGTGGGAGCTGAGGTGTGGTCCCGGCCATGACTCCTCACCTCACCCCCTCCCCACTACTCTTTCTTTTTACAACCCCCCCCCCCCCAAGCCCTGCACTGCCACCCAGGACCCAGGTCCCCAGCCACTGGAGCTGAAAGAGGTCTTCAGATTGTTTCAGATGCAGTACAACCGGAGTTACCCAAATCCAGCAGGTATCCCGGGGCACGTGCGTCTCCAGTCTAACCCCTGCTCTCATTTAACAGACAAGGAAATTCAGGCTCAGGGTGGGGAATGCATTTGACCAAAGCCACTCAGGACAGTGACGTGGGGCTGGGAGTGTACTCCCTGGTTTCCCAAATGCACAGGCGGGGACAGGATCCTCCTTGGCTATGAACCTGGAAGAAGGTGGTGGCTGTTGGGGGTTTGACTGGTCCAAGAGGATCTTCACGTCCAGAGCCACTTTCCTGTGACTACAGCAGCAGGAGACTGCGAGTCATCCAGCAAGCACCAAGGGTTACCCACTTGGTGGATTCCCTCTCCACCCCTATGTGTTGCCAGCCCTGTTTCTGCCCTCTGGATCTCATCTCCCATGGGGGAGGTCTGTGGGCACCTTTCAGCCTGACTTCCTGTGCCAGGGACTTGTACCCCAACCCTCCCCTGTCATGTTCCAGCCACAGACTTGTGGCCAGAGGTGTGAAGTAGAGATAGATATGACCTGGCAGGAAGTCGGTCTCTGACCACCCACCTTTCTCTTGTCACTAGCCTTCAACCTTTCATTTGGCTTCTTCCCCAGGTGGGCAGATACTCTCTTCCTGCCTTCAATGAAACCCCAACCCTAGGGGGACTGGGGAGCCACTTCCTTGGTCCAGGTGTCTGTAGCGGGGTCTGCAAGGACCATAGGAAAGGAGCCAGTGCTTACCTGGGAGAGTGTGGAGGGAAGCCAAACTGGTGGCTGCTTCCTGTCCCTGGGGGCTTGTGAGCCAGCCTAGACAACCTCCTTTTGGTCTAGAGCACGCCCGCCGCCTGGACATCTTTGCCCAAAACCTGGCCAATGCTCAGCGGCTGCAGGAGGACGACCTGGGCACAGCCGAATTTGGGGTGACTCAGTTCAGTGACCTCACAGGTACTGGACTCCCGGCCCTGGGTGGTAGGCAGGGAAGCAGGATCTTTCCCAGCAGATACCAGGCTGACTTGGCTTCTGTTCCCCAGAGGGACTCCTGAGGGCCACAAGCTTGGGGGTTTGCCCCAAATCCGAGATCAGGGCAGGAACTCTGTGGAGGCCTGGGCGGCAGCCCAGATCACAGAGACACCGGGTGCAAGGCTGTGCACCCCAGCAAGGAACCTGGCCTCCTTCTAGGCCTCAGGGTCCTTATCTTTCTGCCTCCCGAGGCATTACAGGGACTCAAATGGCTCTGGATGTGGATGGCTGGGGTGGGAGGCAGGATGTGGTGGGTTGGGGGGGGGGGGGAGTCAAAACAGTGAACTTCATGGCCCCATGTGTCCCCAGAGGAGGAGTTTGTCCAGCTTTACGGAAACCGGGTGGCTGGAGAGGCCCTCGGCGTGAGCAGAAAGGTGGGGTCTGAAGAGTGGGGGCACTCAGTGCCCTCAACCTGTGACTGGCGCAAGGCTGGCACCATCTCACCTGTCAGGGACCAGGTATCTGCCTCCACCCCAAGCCCAGCAGCCTGGCCCAATCCAGCCCTGGGCGGAGGGCGGGGGGGAGGGGTGCACGTGGGGAGGCGGGAAGGAGAGGGCCTGCAGTCCTTACCCGCCCCCACCACTACCATTCTTTCACCATTAGCAACACTGCAACTGTTGCTGGGCCATCGCGGCAGCGGGCAACATCGAGGCCCTATGGGCCATCAAGTTCCATCAGTCTGTGGAGGTCTCCGTGCAGCGTATGGCTGGGGGCTGGGGCGGGGGGCTGAGGGAGGTGGGGGTGCCTGAGGCCTGGGCACACACACTGTCCCTTCTGGCACCAGAGCTGATCGACTGTGACCGCTGTGGGAACGGCTGCAAGGGTGGCTTTGTCTGGGATGCGTTCCTCACTGTCCTCAACAATAGTGAGTACCTGGCTGCTCTGGGCAGTCATGGCGGGGGGAGGATGGGGTGGGTACTGTTGCCGAGCTGAACTGAGCTTCCTCCCGGGCCTCGCTTATCTCTAGGAGGCCTGGCCAGTGAGAAGGACTATCCATTCGATGGGAGTGGCAAAACTCATAGTTGCCGGGCTGAGAAGCACAAGAAGGTGGCCTGGATCCAGGATTTCATAATACTGCAGGCCTGCGAGCAGAGTACGGGCAGGATGGGGACACAGGCGGGCACAGTGGGGAGATAGACAGACTAGGACAGACGGAGCTATAGACAGAGACGGAGGGATCTCTGGGGGCGGGGGGTAGAGGGCAGGAAAGAGGAAGAGATAGATAGAGAGAGATGCCTATGAGCAGAGAGCAGGGGACAAAGGAGAGGCAAGGCTAGATGGTACCTTCCACCCCCAGGCATTGCCAGGCACTTGGCCACCCAAGGCCCCATCACCGTGACCATCAATATGATGTTACTGCAGGTGAGATAAGGTAGGGAATGGGGCGGGGGGGAGGGGGGCGCATATAGGGGAGGTGGCCCCAGACTCTGCCTCTCTGCCCCTGCAGCATTACCGGAAGGGTGTGATCAAGGCCACACCTACCACCTGTGACCCCATACAAGTAAATCATTCTGTCCTGCTGGTGGGCTTTGGTAAAACCAAGTCGGTGGAGGGGAGGCAGGGGAAGGCGGCCTCATTCGGATCCTACTCTCGCCCTCGCCACTCCATGGCATACTGGACCCTGAAGAACTCCTGGGGGACTCAATGGGGTGAGAAGGTGAGTGTGATCTACTGGGGGCAGACAGGGCGGACAGACCTCTCCCCACTGTCTGGCGCTGATGGGCCCTAACTTCTTAGGGCTACTTCCGGCTGCATCGAGGGAGCAACACCTGCGGCATCACCAAGTTCCCGGTCACTGCCAGAGTGGACAAACCTAATAAGCAGCAACAAGTCTCCTGCCCTCCCTGAGGCCGCCTGGCTGCCCTTTGGCTCTCTCCTGCTGTGCCACTTACCTCCCCCTGCCACCCGCCCCAAGGTTTTTGCAGTCTCCCAGTATTCTTGCTGGGGATTGAATAAAGCAAGACAAGACCCCTGTCTTTGGAGTGGACACGGCTGGGGTGGGGAAATGGATGGGGAGCGAGTAGATACCGTTCTCTGACATGTCCTTGTCCCTGTGGGGTCAACAGACACACACATCCTCGTATACCATGACACTCAAAAAGAGACGTACGTGTGCAACGGGCACACACTTCCATGCGCGGACCCATGTGTGTACCCACTCACAGCCTCCTCCAAAGTCATGGCAACTTTATTGTCAGTGTGGCCAGGGCGGGGGGAGAGGCCTCAGTCATGATAGAGGCGCAGGAGGCAGCCACGGAGGGTGCCCATGTAGCGGTCCCAGAGCACCTGGTGCCTGCAATGATAACAGTAATGGGTTGGCTGATGTTGACTGGATCCCCATGACCCTGCTCCACGTGCTCTTTACACCTTTACTTGTTTAATCCTCACAGGATTCCTCTAAGCCTTACTGCTGTCACCCCCAGCTTATGTCTGAAGGAACTGAGACACACAGAGAGAAAGGAACTTGTCAAGATCAGGTCAGTTTCTCAGCAGTGAAGCTGAGACTCTGGTCAACACAGTGACTTCCAACCCCAGGGCCAAAGAACCAGGGTACTCAGAGTCTGCAGGAGGGCTGGGCCCCAGCAGGATAAGGAGGCCTGAGGTCTCTCACCGGAAGCCATCCAGGGAGTGGACCGAAGCTGAATACTGATTCAGGAAGAGCCGCACATCATTCAATGGCCAGTGGTCAGAGCGGCAGGGTTCCACGAACTGTGGGTCCAAGGTAACATCTAGCACTGGCACAGCCCAGGGACAGGCCAGGATGGGGTCAGAGGGCAGCCGGCAGGACAACTCACCTTCTCCACGAGGTCTACAAACAGGTCTCTGACATCCTTATTGTGGGTCAGCTTGGCGGCCACATTCACCAGCCCCCGGGACAGGTTCTGTGGGGCAGGGAGCCTGGGAGTTCTGCCTTCTGCCCGAGAGAGGCTGGGGGCTGAGACCACATCTATCCACCTCCCTCAATCAAGTAATTCCCCAGCGTTTAAGAGCTGGCTCCCCCCAGGGGCAGGCAGAGGGAATAGCAGCACCGCCTGAGGCCAATAGCAGAGCTGCTGGGGGGACAGGGCTCTGGAGGCTGAAGATGCCCCAGTTACAGAGGCTGGACTGGGCCACAGACCTTGAAGTTGGCTTCCATCTCCGAAAAGACACCAAGCTTCCCCCGGAGGGCAGTGCACACCAGGCTGAAGGAGGACAGGGTCAAGGCCCACGCTGCCTGGGCGCCCACTTCAGGCCCCGCCCCACAGACCCCTCGGGTCACCTCTTGTGCAGGTCTAGAAGATCCTTGTCAGCCACAAGCACCTTGAGCTCCTTCAAGTCCTGGAGAAACTCCTTGTCTAAGTCCATGTCCATGTCATCCACCTGGGAGTCTGAGTGAGGCCCATGAAAGGAATGGAGGTGGGAGATAAAAAATACCTCCTGTGATAACCTGAGCCTTCCCCCCACCATCTCATGGCACCCCACAAGACAAAAGAGCATGCTGGGTGTGAGAGAGCTGGAGGGACCGGCTCCAAGCCAGAGAGACGCTGTGGGTCCCTTGTTTGCAGACAAACTATGTGTGGGGGCCCTGGGCCATGAGCAGAAGCAGCTGGGCAGGGGCCCTGAAGAAGAAAGGCTGCTGGGAACGGGGGCCTGCACCTGGGTCAGTGGGGGCCTCACCGACGGCTCCAAGGGTCCAGTTCTGGATCATGAGCTCAGCACAGAAGGCAAAGTCCCCAAAGCTCAGATACTGCAGTTTTTTCTTCCCTGTCTCAAAGCGATTGTTGGCAAAGAAGACGATGGCTGCATAGTCCCTGCGGGGTGGGGAGGGGGGGCATCCATCAGGGCTTGAAACTGCTTCTTAGCAAGCAGTTCCCAGCTACAACATTGGCGGGACCGCCGTATTCTGGCCTCTCTCTACCCTAACTCACTGTGTGATGTGTTTCAAGTCACGTCTCTCTGGGCCTCCTCCTCTGGGCAAAGAAAAGGTTTAAGCCCGGATCTCCTAAGGGACACAGTGGGAGACCACAGAGTAACAGCGACCATTTCCTGAGTACTTACTAAGCCCCAGGGACTGTGCCATCATGGGCTTTACCCATGGCACCTCACAACAGTCTAGCTGGTGAATGGCCAGGCTGGGATTCAAACCCAGGCCAGTCTGAACCAAAGTATAACCCAAGAGAGGGATAACCATTGCCCCCGTACAGTAAACAGGTCATGCGGGTTGGGGCAGAAAATAAGGGTCAGCCTCAGGGCACAAGGAAGGAGTGTGCAGGAGGGGGAGACAGTTGGCTCCTCACCTGGCCCCTCTCCTGGCCCCTCACCTGGCCAGCCGGTCGGACAGGAGGAAGTGCTGCTGGATGTTATCCACCAGGGAGCCCCGCATTTCCTCCACCACCTTGAAGACGCGCTTAAAGTTGTCAAACTGCAGGGCAGTTAGAGGAGGAGGAAGGACTGGTCAGAGGTTGCTCACCCAATAAACTGTTGGGTTTACCCACAGTTACTTTCCCACCTATCCAGTCAACAGACACTGATGAAGCATTTGCTATTTCTTCAAAAAACTATTATCTCCTGCATTGGCAGGTGGATTCTTTACCAATGGGTCACTTGGGAAGCCCTATTAATTATTAATACCTCTTATCAATCCCCCAAATGTTCACCAGCTTCTGCCATCTTGCCTTGGATAAATGTTTACTCACTCTTATCAACAAATTCTCTGCGATTTTAGCATCATGCTCTCTAGTTCTTCACTAGTTTGTGCTGAAACTGACCTTCCTGGCTAAGTCCCAGGAACTCAAAAAAGAGAAAATACTAAGCCATCTTGGGGAGCTCACAGGAGTCACAGAGGAAAATGCTAAAGGCCCAGTAGAAGGGTTACTTCTTCCTGGCACCACTGGCAAGGCTTTTGGAGAAGGTGGTATATGATCACCCCCCTCAATCAATCCCCAACCATGCCTTAGATTTCAAGAGGTAGATATGTCCTAAAATAATACCCTGTAAAAATAATACAGGTACGGGCAGATGAGCAAAAGAAAGCCAGGGTATGGGGAGTCTAGAGGGGGGGCAGGGACAGGATGATAGGAGGGTCTGAAGGTCAAGACCAAGGAAAGTAGCTGCTATAGGAAAGAATGGGAGCCATTCAAAGTTCGTAAGCAGAAGAAAGCTAAGGTAAAAATGTAGGCTTCTGAGAGGTCATTCTGGCTCAAGAGTAGGGGACGGCTTAGAAGGAGCTAAAAGAGAGGAGAGTGGAAATGAAGGCACAGACACAGAGGTGTTGGAGTGGGCTGGAGGTGAGGCAGGAACCAAAGGGATGGTGCAAAGGGCTGGGCTGCAGACGGGTGCAGTGCCCACCTGTCTCCGGCAGCTCTTGAGGGTGATGCCTGTTTTGGTGCTGATATCATCCAGGTCTTTCTTGGTGCCCTTGGACAGTTTTTTGCCCAGCACCTCCCGCACGAAGGCCTCGTCAAAGGCATAATACCTGTGGGGAGTTGGGAACGACACTACTGACTTCCCATAAAAAGAGGGGAGAGGAGAGCTGGCAGGATCTGGGTTTGGCCCCTTCCGCTCTCAACTTTCTCCCGGCTTGGGTAAGTCCCGTCCGTCCCCGGGCCCCATCGTCAGCCTGCAAAATGGGCACAAGGACAGACTGGTTGGCGTCCCCACCCCCCCGCCAGGTGAGCACCTCTCGATGAGCAGCGCCTGTCGAGAGGGCGGGATCTGGAAAATGAGCTGGTGAAGCAGCTTGGGCGGCGCGTGGAGCAGGCGCTCGAGCATGTGGAAAGTCCGGTAGTGGTCCATGGTGTCGCTCTGCAGCACCGCTGCCGTGGCGCCGGTCTGCTCCAGAATTCCCGAGCGCACCCTCAGGGCCACCGCGTCGCTCACTGGGAAGCGAGCGCTGGCATCAGGCCCCGCCCCGCCGACCCTAGAGGTTCTACAGGGATTTCAGCCCCAAGCCCCAGGCTTTTCATACTCCCAGGCCTCTGCCCACTGCCCTATAGGATGCCTAGTCCTGGTTCTGCCCCCTCTCCCATCCAAAACAACCGCTCCGCCAGACCGGCTCCCCCAGTCAGCCCCCCACAGACCCGAATAACCGTCCAGCCAAAGGCGATACACGTCCTCGTCGATGAGGGTCGTGTTCCCCACGAAGATGTCCAGCTCGCTGGTCATGGCGACGCCCGGACCCGGGCGCTACCGCAGCGCCCCAGCAGGAGCGAGCACTGCCCGGGCCCGGCGCGCCGCCGCCGGGCCACTTCCGGGAGCACCGACATTCGTCTCCCGGCACCCGGAGCCAGAAAAGGACCACTTCCGGGACAGAGCGAGTCGGGGGCTGGAGCCGCGAAGAAAGAGACTGAGGCCGACACGGTTGGGTAGCTCCTCCTCCCAGCGGGAGGAGGAATCTCGGGATCCTCAGTTCCCAGCCCAGCCCACCCCACCCCACCCTCATGCCGGCCGGGTTTGCAGGAGGGCATCCAGAGCCAAGGCCTCTGGCTAGTTGCCCCTGTCCCGGCAACCTTCACCCTCATGTCTCCCTGGTTATTCTGTGCTCTTTTGCGGGGAGCCCCAGTACTTTGACCTGTATCCTGAATGTAGGAGCTCCACAGGGCTCTATGGGGGTCCCTGGTGGCTCAGCGGTAAAGAATCCACCCGCCAATACAGGAGATGCCGAGTTCAACCCCTGGATCCGGAAGAACTCCTGGAGAAGGAAATAGCGACCCACTCCAGTATTCTTGCCTGGGCAGTCCTTGGGGTCGCGAAAGAGTAGGACACGACTGAGCGACTAAACAACAACAGGGCTCTATCCTGAATCTTTTTAATGCAAAAAAAAGTTGTCTGGCCCGTCTTCAAGGGCCCTTGCTGAGAACCCCTCAGCCCATCCTGCAGATGAGCCACTCCTGAACATGGGGTACCTACTCCCATGGTTTTAAGCCAACCGCCCCGCCTCCACCCCTCCAACTAATGACCTCCCTGATACAGCTTAGAGCTCTGTCTGGAAGTCCACATCCAGACGGCCACCAATCTGTAACTCTTTCCACTCTTTTCCCCACAGCCAGACCTGTTGGTTTCCTGATCTGTTCCCATCCCCACCCCCCACCCCGTGTTCCTATCTCAGGAACAGCCTCTACATCCACCTTGTTCTCATACCAGAAACCTGGGCTTTCTCCCAGACTCTTCTTTTTCCACATTCAGGTCTGCTGATTTGCCTCCTGAATACTTCTAGTATCTGTTTTGTCCTCTCCACCCCCACTGCACTGTCCAAGCCCAGTCCTTCTGCATAGCTCTCCTTGCCCACTGACACATTGTTCTCAGTAATCTTTCTGCCTACATCCCCTCCCTATGGTCCATCCCACACAGAGCAGCCCAATCAACCTTTTTTTAAAAATGTATTTTCAAAAATGTTACTCTCCTGCTGAAATCCTTACTGGCCTGTGTAAATGCTCCAGCTTAGTATTTAAAGCCCTTAAGAATCTAGCTTCTGACTACCTTTGTTGCCTGCCTTCCTCTCTTACCACTTTCTCTAAGCACTGCGTTTCCAAAACAAACACGAAAAACCAGTTTACTCTCGCTGTTCCTAAAGCATAGAGGCTCTTTCAGTCCCCAGACTTTCACTGTGCTATTCTCTCTTCCTCAAATAGCTCTCTCATTACTCACCAAAGTCCTATACATCTTTCAGGGTCCCTCAGGTAGCACCTCTTTGGGGAAAGCTTCCCAGATGGCCGTAGAAGCCGCCTGCCAATGCAGGAGACATAAGAGATGTGGGTTCCACCCCTGGGTCGGGAGGCTCCCCTGAATGAGGGCATGGTAACCCACTCCAGTATTCTTGCCTCGAGAATCCCCATGGACAGAGGAGCCTGACAGGCTACAGTCCATAGAGTCGCAAAGAGTCGGACACGGCTGAGGCGACTTAGCACGCACTTTGTGGGTGGGGGCAGTCCCTCAAAATGTGGTCTTCCTCCATTTGCTTCTTCATCGCAGCTTGTCGCCTCTGCCAGATCAAGACCTCTTTAAGGACAGTATAAGGATATGACTCAAGTTTATTTCTGCATAACTCTTACACACAATAAAAGTTTACTGAACAAACAAATCCGTTGTATGCCCCTCCCACCGGACAGGAAACGGTCTGTGAGAGGGAGAGTAGGCTGATGATGTGAGCCAGGACGTTTGGACTTAGGTTTCCAAGGACTGAAAGCGATGCTCAGTGAGTCGAGACTCTACAGTTCGAGCAAAGCTAGGATGGATGGAAAGGCGATCCGTCTGGATTTTGTCAGAGGGTGGGCGGAAGAGTCGGGGGTCGACACTGGAATCCTGGTTCTCAGAGGGAGCCGAGAGGCCTGGGCTCGAGCTTGAGGCGGTTTGGAATTGGAAGGTACGAAGCGCCTACTTTGAGGCTGTCTGGAACCGAGGTCGGGGACGCGGATACCCAAAGTCAGCGAGCGTCAAGGGACTCCGCGGTCCGAAGTGGGCGGGGAAGGGCTTCATTCTGGGAGCCTGGACCCCGCCCCTTTCCGAGGGCGCTAGCCCGGATTGGCTGTTCGTCCTTGACGTCTTGGGGCCCCGCCCCGGCGCGCGCCCGGCCGCGTGCCCACCCCCGCGCGGCTGCTGCATCCTACTCTAGCTCCGCCACAGCTTGTCCACTGAGCGGGTGCCTGAGCCCCAGCGGCGAGGAGCTCGTCGTGGGGCTCCTGGGCCGCGGCGGCGGGCAGGCGATGCTCCAGAGGCTTAGGCAGCCATGGAGGCCGAGACGGGCGGCCTGGAGGAGCTGACGGATGAAGAGATGGCGGCTCTGGGCAAGGAGGAGCTGGTGCGGCGCCTGCGGCGGGAGGAGGCGGCGCGCCTGGCGGCTCTGGTGCAGCGCGGCCGCCTTATGCAGGAGGTGAATCGGCAGCTACAGGGTCACCTGGGCGAGATCCGCGAACTCAAGCAGCTCAACCGACGCCTACAGGCCGAGAACCGCGAGCTGCGCGACCTCTGCTGCTTCCTGGACTCGGAGCGCCAGCGCGGGCGGCGCGCCGCGCGCCAGTGGCAGCTCTTCGGGACCCAAGCATCCCGAGCAGTGCGCGAGGATCTGGGCGGTTGTTGGCAGAAGCTGGCCGAGCTGGAAGGCCGCCAGGAGGAGCTGCTGCGGGAGAACCTGGCGCTCAAGGAGCTCTGTCTGGCGCTGGGCGAAGAGTGGGGTCCCCGAGGCGGCTCCGGCGGCTCGGGGGGCTCTGGCGCTGGGCCGGCACCCGAGCTGGCCTTGCCCCCCTGCGGTCCTCGTGACCTGGGCGATGGAAGCTCCAGTACCGGCAGCGTGGGCAGCCCCGATCAGTTGCCCCTGGCCTGCTCCCCAGATGACTGAGGGCACAGCTTCCCGCCGATGCCCGCCCGGATTGTTCCTCAAGCGACGAGACTGCGGTGAACCTGGGGACCCGGACGCCGCCCCGGCCGCGCACGAAGGGCCGATGGAATGGACTTAGAAACCCTAACACTGAGGAAGGCCCCTGGCTCTCGCTGGCGGGGCAGTAGGGGGACTGGAGGCTGGAGTGGAGGGACTTACTGGGGGCTGGGTGGAGGCTAATAAACTGAGGCGGAAGCAGAGCCCATGGCTCTGTCGCGTCTGTTTGGAACTCGCCGGCGTTGGGACGAGGGCGGGGACCATTGGGGGTACCATTCCCATCTGGAGGGACTGTAGAACTAAGGTGGCTGACTCCCCCGTTACTTCAGTCCTGGGGCGGGATGTGGGACAGTGGTGAGCCATTGGCTCCCCCCATCAGGCCCCAGGACAGGCCGTGATCCGGCCCCAGAAGTGGCTCCAGCTCCCTTCCCGGCTCCTTCCTGTCCAAGACAATGGAGCAGGAAGCAGGTGCTGGGGGCCTAAAACCCACTCAGCCGCCTCCCGAGAGGCTGGAAGGGGCCTAACAGCGCCCTCCGGTGGCACACGCGGGAGCACTGTGGGTCCCCCACCGGGAAGAGGATAATCCTCTTGGCTTGGCACCTCACAGCATTTCTCTTCCTCTTCTCAGTCCTGGAGATGAGGCAGAACCGATGTAGCCTCATTTGTCAGATAAGAAAATCGAGGTCCAGAAATATCAGTTTGTTTAAGGTCAGGTAGTGAGTTGGTGGAGCTGAAATGGGAGCCTGAGGCTTCTGGTTCCAAATGGTTCCCTTTAGCCTCTGGGTCCAATGAGAGCAGACTAGAGCTTCAAGCCTTTTATTCCATTTTGGCAGGTTTGTATAAAAATACTCTCTTTAGGAAAATAAATAGCAGCTGCCCACGCTGTGGAGGCTTGGAGCTAAAGTCTTCTCAGAGCTGGGGGCTGCAGGTCAGCTCTGGCACTCTCCTGAGCCGTTCCTTTTAGGAGGCGCTGGCACAGAGTGTCCTGGTTCAGTAACCTGGTGCTGCTCGCAGTGCGGCTGGGTGAGTTAGTGTTCTAGGCTGGTAGAGTATCATCTTCTGTCAGGGGTAGGGTTGGGTGGATCACAGGAAGAGGCGATGAAGACCATAGGGGTGACCTGCAGGGGATTAGGGCTCCAGAGGACCTCTGAGAATCTACAAAGTCCCTTGGGAGCTGCCCGGAATTCCCTCCAACAAGTGGGAACTATTTTGTCTCTGATTTAGTGCAAATTGTGCTAGAGAGGCCAGCTCTGGAGAACCAGTGGGCAGCTTTGGCTCTACTAGGAAGCAAAATATGCTCAGTCTCGTCTGGAGGGATGCAGAAGAATCTGCTGGGGTTGGACATGGGATATGATCCAGACCAGCTGGACCAATGAGCAGGGAAATACTGGTTAGGGTGGCACCCACGGGGAGCAGGAGCTGGAGTGCCTCATAAGGCCAGGAGGGTTGGGGAGCCCAGGGGATCAGAAGAGGGGTCCCCACTGCTGCTGCTACTCTTGCGATGAGCTGAGGCACAGGGCTCTGGCGTGCTGGGGTAGGTGAAGACCAGACTGGGGGTGAAAGGAGTCAGGGAGGGTGTGGTCATGAGCGTGGGAGTGTGCAATGCTTCGGGTTCAAGTACAGGCCCTGGGGAAAGGGAGATACATGGCACAGGGCGGGAGGGGCCTGGCGGGCTGCTGCTGGCACCGCCTGTGCCGCTGGTTTCGCTCTCCTTGGCCCCTTCCGGGATTTTGCAGATGGGGCGGTGGGCTTCGAGCACCAGCTCCAGGCGCTCCTTCTGCTTCTGCAGCTCCTCAATCTCTCGCTGCAGTCCAGATTTCTCATCCTCCAGTTTGTCGGTCTCCTGTGGACGATAAGGAAAGGAGTCAAGAAGAAGAGGGCTGAATGTCGCAGAGCCTCCCGCTTTGGTAGTGATTGGCAGGTTGGGGAGCGGGGGAGGGGAGGCTGGAGAGTCTCCCTCAAGTATGGACTACAACTCCCATGAGCCCATAGGAGAATATGGGCACGATTCCCATCAGGCTCGGGGGCACCTTTGAAAGATATTGTCGGGCCTGCTTCAGCTCTGCTATGTTCAGAGCGAGACACGCTGCAACTAATTTTTAACCACTTTTTCCTCGTCGCAGTGCCGCTCCAACGGGGAGCTTGGGGGAGGGGATGTATCTAATGGCGCCCCCTGCGGCCCTTGGGAACTGGGAACTCTCTGAGGTTGGGTGGGCCGGGACCAGGGCACCCTCTGCACTCGCTGGTGCTCACCGCCTGCAGGAAGTCGGTCAGTTCTTTCCTCCGGTTCCTGCACTTGGCCGCAGCTAGCTTGTTCCTCTCCCGCCTCACTCGACGGCGTTCCTCCTCCTCGGGGCTGATCTGGGGGAAGGAGGGTTACAGAGAGCAGTGAGGTGGACTCTGTGCTGCTGGCCAGTGGTAGGACCCTGGCGCAGGGCATGGCAGCGCAGGGGCGCCCTCACACTGCACTCTGGGGACCTCCCCACCCTGACCCGTTCCGAATTTAGTAAGCTTGGATTAGTCAAATTTCCTCCTCGCTCCCAGCTTTTGCTTCCTGTGATTCCTCTGGGAATGTCCTCCCTGTCCCTCTATAAATCCTAACCCCCTCTCCCAGGACTCCACTGAGATCCCTCAGGCCACCACGACCCTTCCTGGAAGTCTTCTTTCATTCCACAGCTGTAAGTGGCCGTTGCAGCCACTCTTTTTCAAAGGAACCTCTTCTTTTCAGTCACTTGATAACCAAACCTCCTCTTCCCCAGGGGCTGTAAGCACTAAGAGGGGCTAATGAGAGCTTCTATGTAGTTATTTATTGGGAACCTACTGTGTGCCAGCTAAGTGCTTTATATGGATCCTTAACCCAGCTTCTCTTGTAAGGAGCCAAAGGCCAGGGAAGATGAATAACTTGTTTGTGGTTCCAGAGCAGAAATGAAAATCCATGTGGTTAAGAATCTGCTTTGCAGTGCCGGGGACAGTGGTTTGACCCCTGGTCCAGGAAGATCCCACATGCTGCAGAGCGACTAAGCCTGTGTACCACAACTACTGAGCCAGAGCTCTAGAGTCTGTGCTCCGAAACAAGAGAAGCCAACACAATGAGAAACCTGCACACCACAAAGAAGAGTAGCCCCTGCTTGCTGCAGCTAGAGAAAGCTTGAGAGCAGCAACAAAGACCCACCACAGCCAAAAAATAAATAAATCTTAAAAAAATTAATGCAGTCTATTTAACACTGAGAAAGGGGCCAGCTGATGGACACCACCTCTCCCAAAAAGGAGCCCATTCATAGCCCGTCTAGGAGTAGCCAGGATCAAAGAAACGTGGCTGAAAGAAGTCCAGGAACCTGCCTCTGGGGCTTACACCATGGTCTCCTTCCATCTGGTCACAAAAGCCACCCCTGACTAATCGCACATTTCTCAGGATTCTAACTGTCCTTTCCATCCTCTACCCTGCTGTCAGAGCAAACTTATTAAGAGGCAGCCCTCACCCACTACAGTCTCAGATACTGAAATGCCCCAGGGAGAGCAAAGAGGAACCAGTCCCTTAAAGACCCTCCAGCTCTTAATCATTTATTTGGGCAAGGACTTTATTACTAGCAGTGAGCAGCCAAAAACCCTGGTTTGGAAGGCAAGTGTTCCCAGCTCTTTCAACTTCAAGCCTCCTCTTACCTCCTGGTGAGACACTGTGGCTTGGTGGGTATGATCTGACTTTAGAATTGGACAGTCCTGTCTCATTACTCACTCCTTGTGTGACCTTGGGCAAGTGACTATCTCTCTGTGCCTTCATCTCCTTAGCTGTAAAATGGGGGAAAGCCAGAGTTCATTCCCAAGAGGGTTTTTGTGAGGATTAAATGAGTTAGAGAAATTGAGACTCAGAGTAGCTGAAGGAAACCCTTTCTGTTTTCACCTTGGCAACACAGCCAGCCTAAGCCCACCCTCTCCACACCTGTCATCAGGTGGAGCCCTGCTACTGCCCACACAGCTTTCCACATACGCACCTTACATGTTCTCACCTCTGCCTCCATTCCTGCTCCTGCCATCCCCTCTACCTGGAATGTCTTTCCATCATCTTTCTCCCTATGCAAATCCTACCCATCCTTCTAGGCTAATATGCCTCCACCTCCAGGAAGTCTTCCCTGATCCAGAAGTGACCGCATTGCCCTCTGGGTCTCCCTAGGGGCTCTCATCACTTTCTGTCTTGGCCAATAGTAATCAGAGAGCCTGTTCTCCCCACACCCCTTCTCAGCCTGTGTTCTGCTTCTGGACAAGAGTTTATTCTCTGCACCTCAGCACCCCTGTGGACTCAAGAACCTTTGTGAGCACCTCTGCTTCTTACCTGTTCACAGGGCCGGCGACGCACTCCTGGAGCTGGGCCCAGAGCCCGGATGACTCCTGGCCGGGGCTGTGGGGGACTGTATGGGGGATAGGCCAGAGGCCTGGGGTAGCTGCTGGGTCCCAGGAAGTGAGGCTGAACCATCCACTGCAGCTCCTGGTTGCCACTCACAGTGTTGATGCTTGGCACGAGGTGGAACTTCTGAGGGATAAGACATGGAGGGCCAAGGATAAGGTCTGTGTGGATTGAGGGGCTTCCAGTAATAAAGTGTGAATTCCAGGTGCTGTCCCAGACACTTTAAAAATACTGACTCCTTATAATTTGCACAACAGTATCTTCATTTTAAGGGCTTCCCTGGTGACTCAGCGATAAAGAGTCTGACTACATTTCTGATGCCAATGCAGGAGATGCAGGTTTGATCCCTGGGTCAGGAAGATATCACTTAGTGGAGAAAATGGTAACCCACTCCAGTATTCTTGACTGGAGAATCCCATGGACAGAGGAGTCTGGTGGGCTGCAGTCCATGGGGTTGCAAAGAGTCGGACATGACTTAGTGACTAAACAACAACAAATCTTCATTTTCAGACAGGAAAACGGTTGTCCCTAGATAGACAGTCAATAAGTGGGAAGTGAGGTTTGGACCCAGGTGATCAGGGTCTTACCAGCTCCTGCACCCTGCCTGAGTCCCATCTGCACCAGGAAGATAATGACAGCCCCAGGGAGATTCCCTGGGGAAGGAAACGGCAACCTGCTCCAGCATTCTTGTCTGGGAAATCCCATGGACAGAGGAGCCTGGCAGGCTACAGTCCATGGGGTTGCAAAAAGTCAGACACAACTGAGCAACTTAGCACAACTTCAAGGGTGATGATGAGAATCAGGTAAGAGAATGTGTGTGCGACAGAGCCTGGCAAGTGGCAGGTATCCAACATACAGGGGCCATGGTAGGCAAGAGCCACTGCTCTGGGTTCAAGCTAGCTCAGTTCTGATCTTAGCTCAGCCATCTACTGGCTGTCAGGGTAAATTATTTATCCTCAATATGCCTCCATTTCCTTGTTTTTAATATTGTCATAGGTTAAGATCATTTCCCTGATGCCAAGAAGTACCCTTCAGTAGCTCTGAGGTCACAGTTTAATTGACAAATTAAAAAAAAATAGTGGCACAAAATAACGGGTTTTAAAATCAATGGGGTCTTAGGTTCTGTGAGACAAGGTAAAAAATGAGGTGGAAAGTGCCCAACACAATGCAAGACTGCACAATATGCGCTGCCACGATTCTTTCAGCCAGAAATGTGAGGAATGGGTTGAGATAGGGACTCAGTGTTCCGGAGGAGAACTGAGTTCAAGCCCTGGGGCTGGGCCCTGGGTGTGGGCGCCCAGCCGTCCGGGAAGCTCCCTCAAGCCCAGGCAAGTCTAGACAGCAGTGTCCCCGGCTCAGCGCTGCGGGCCCAGTGGCCCAATGACCCTAGTTCCCGGCCTACGTACCGCCGGCGGCATCTCCCGCTCCCGACGTTGTCGGGGCCCGGGCCGCTCCGGGCCAGGAAGGGAGGGGCGCCCGGGGTGAGTCACCCACCGTGACTCGGCCGCCGTGACTCGGCGGAACGGACGCCGCTCCTCTCCACCCCTAGCGACACGTGCTCATCGCCCCTCGACAGGAAATGGGCACCTGCAGCCTCCCGGGTCCCCCCAACCGGCAGCGGGCGCCGTTCGATGTCGGGGGCGCGGGAGTTGCCGGTTGCATGACCCCGCGCACGTCCTGGCACCTCGCGGTCTCCACCCGCCCCAACCCGTAAAGGGGTCAAGAGCCAGTCTCCCGGAGCCCACCAGCTCCACTGCGGCTGGACGGGGATGAAAACTTGGCGATGGGGTGGAGAGGGACAAACAAACAGGCAGGCACACGGACGACCACAGACAGACTGCTCAGGATTCCCAGTCTGTCCGGGCAAGCCGGCTGGGGGAGCCAGTGTGTGGGGACCTCTCGGCCGCGGCTCAGACTCCGGACCTCGGAAATGTCGTCCGAGATGGATCGGACCCTCTCTGATCCTGTCGGGGCTGGGACTAATCCCGGACCAAGGGGGTCCCCTTCCGAAGCAGATGGGACAAAGAAATTAACGGTGAACAGGAGGAAGGAGAGGAGGTAACAGAGACGGAGGGACAGAGAGACAGCGGACAAAGGGGGAGGGGGACGTGCGCTGGGGCCGATGCTCGCAGAGATGTGTTCCTCCCGCCGTGCGCGCTCTGCGGGGCTGTGGGGCAGAAAGTGCCTTTGGACAGCGGAGAGTGGGCAGAACCCGCTGCCACGGCCCCGAGACCTGGTCCCTCTCCCGGTTCCCGGTCCCAGTCCCCGTCCCCGAGTGTGCCGGAGCGGCCCGCGCTCTCCTCGGCGCTGTCCACCTGTGGACTCCAGGTGTCGGGTTCCTCTCACCTGCTGGCCTGTGGCCGGGGGCTGCGTCGGGCCGCCGTACGCACCGCCGGCGCCGGAGCTCGGTCCGGGTTCCCCGTAGTCTCGGAACATGCCCTGGGTTGGCCTCTCTGTGGGGTCCGCGTCGGCGGCTTCGGTTCTGACTCACTCGCTCCTCGCGGAGTCTTTTCTTTTTATGAATGAAAAGTCCTCGGGCTGAACCACTTCTACTGGGGGGGGGTGTGCGAGGGAGGGCGGGCGTTTCGCCGCGGCTCTGGTCACCTCCAGGCTCCACCTCTCCAGACGCGCCGCCTTTTATCAATCCGCCCTAAACTTTTCGGTCGCCTCCCACAGTCCAGTAGCCGACTGACTCTCGGTGGGGAAAAGGGGCGGATCTGGCGGCTCCCAGGGACAGCCGCGGGCCCGCCCCCTCTGACGTAGCTGCCCAAACATGGTGCGATTTCCTCGCCGCGCCCAGGTGGAGCGAAGGATTCCCCCGCGGACCTAAGCACCTGCGAGCAGCCGGGCGCCCCGCCCCGCCTCGCCCCGCCTCGCCCCGCCCCGCCCCCAAGAGCCGACTTAGCCTCCGCCCCCCCCCCCCCCCCACCGCGGTTCCCCCCGCAGCCCCACTGCTTGGTCTAGCCTAGTGTTTGCATTGTAAAATGGGACAAAATAATCACAGAGCGACCTTGCCACGCGTGGGAAGTTGGAATGAAGAATATGAAAGAAGTCTGGAAACTGTACATCGGATTATAAATGTGATTGATGTTGCTAGTATTACCATCATCATCACCTACTGGGTGCTTATTCATGCCCGGAACCATGCTACTGCCATCCAAGTCGTGACATGAGTCCCCTTCACTGGCGCTGTTTTAAGGTTCAGGTATACGAAAAAGTGAACAAATGACAAACCGGAGTTACAAAAATGGTGTGTATTTTAAATAATTACAAGGACATGTTAATACTTTGAACTACCCACAGATACAAAGCAATACAATCGCCTTACTCACAGGATAATTTTAGGAACTGTAGCAAGGTTTAATTCAGAGCCCCTACCAGTAGTGAGATCCTGTCAACTGAGCCAATTGGACACAGTTCTGTGTTCTGATAAACGCCATCTTCCTTAAATACTGTAACGGCTCTTCCAGGACTGTGTTGTCATCAGCCTTGTTTGGAGATTATGTCAAAGGTTTGTGTGAATGTGAGGCAAGGACCAAGTGTCAACAACCAAAAACCAACAACTCTGGGAGGAAGGCCCCTTTATCAGCCCCATTTTGCAGATGGGGAAACTGAGGCCTGAACAGAGTAAGGAGCTGCCAGAGTCACACAACTACACAGAGAGAGAGCTGGGCTATCCTGCTTTCCACTGGTACCTCCTTTTGATTGGCTCCAGTTTTGTCCTCACAGAAGGGAAATTTCAGGAAGATGGGGTCCTGCACTACCTTCCTCAGGGACAGAGGCCACAGTTGGTGGATGTATTCAGGACTTAGAACCAAGAGGCCAGCTTGGCCCTGGGCTTCCAGTCCCAGAGTTACTATTTTCTGTCTCTGTTACCCTGGGCAGGTCACCTTCCTTCTGAGTCTTGCTCCCAGTGGGAATAATTGAGCCGCCTGCTGACCTCATGGGGCGGCTGTAGGATCAAATGAGATCACAAATGTGAAAGTGCTTTGTAAGCTGTAAAGTGAGGCGCGCTCAGAAGGTGGTTACCCGTCTGGTGCCTCTCCCTTTTCCTTATTCTACTCTGCTTGTCATTGTCTAAAAAGAAAAGAAACCACCAGCAGTTTGCCAGAATGAGAAATACATGGGTATGTGTATGTGTGTGTGAGTGTGCATGCATGCATATGTGCACACATGTGTGCATAAGTGGGGGGGAGAGGCAGTGTGACTCATGGAAAAGAACATATGTGCTGGAATCATACACCTGGGTTCTGAATTTGAATTCTTCTTAGGCTGCTTGCCAGCTGTATGACCTTGGTGAGGCACACAATCTCTCAGAGCCTCATCTGTGAAATGAGGACATCTGATGACTACAAAATGATAAACATCTCAGGGTTGTTGGAGAACAGATATCAAATAATGTTTCATGCTGCGTACAGCATATAGTAAGAATTTGACAAATAGCAACAAAACATGCACGTTAAGAAAAAGCCCCATGGGTGGAAGCTTTGGGGGTTCTGATCACATGCTAAGGTACTTGTGTGTACGCACACACACTGATATCTGAAATTCTTAGCTGAGCCTAAGCAGGACAGGTCAGAGTGAAGAGGCAGACATGTGGTGGCACATGGGAAGCCTAACAGGTCAGCCTTGACTGCATTTGTCTGCCAGCTCCAGAAACACAGACTGGGACAGTGATTGAGCAGGGGCTCAGGTCTCAAGTATGTGTGTGTGTGTGTGTGTGTGTGTGTGTGTGTGTGTGTGTGTGTGTGTGTGTGTGATTACATGGCTCTCAAAGTCCCTTCCTGCCCTAACCGTCGGTGGAGCCACAAGGAGGTCTTTTCAGAGGCTGCACATTCCAAGCTTCTCAGTCACTAACTCCCGCCTCGTGGCTGCAGTAACGTTCCTGGCCCTTGACCTCACTAGCTCCCACCCAGGGAGGCCTGGAGAGAATTCCAGGGGGCCACAGTGATTTCAGGAGTCTGGGGGCTGGGAGGTCTAAGAGACCCAGGCCTCGTCCTTTGGCAGCTGTGTGAGCCTGGCTCTATCAATGTCCCTCCCTGAGCCCCAGACAGTCCCCACCTCCTGGGGCTGCAGTGAGACAAAAGGAGGTAGTGCATGAGGCTGTTCCGCACCCAGAAGGTTCTGTCAGTGCCCCCAGGGCACTGAGGTGATGTTTATGTTTTCCAGTTTCCGTTCACTTTTTACGTTGAAGTTTACTTTTTTAAATTGAGGTGAAATTCACATAACATACAATTATCCATTTTAAAGCATACACTTGAGTGGGATTTTGTGCCTGCATGAGATTGTGCAACCACCACTTCTCTCTAGTTTCAAAACTTTTTATTTATTTTTTTTCAAAACTTTTAAAATCGTTCCAGATTTAAAACACTCCATGTCCATTAAGTGCCAGTACTCTGTCGTGTCCGACTCTTTGCGACCCCGTGGACTGTAGCCCATCAGGCTCCTCTGTCCATGGGATTTCCCAGGCAAGAATACTGGAGTGGGTTGCTACTTCCTCCTCCAGGGGATCTTCCTGACCCAGGGATCAAACCCACATCTCCTGCGTCTACCTGCATGTCTACCTGCGTTGGGAAGTGGACTCTTTCCTGCTAAACCACCTAGGAAGCCCATTGAGTAATGGCTCCCAATTCCCTGGTAACCATGCTCCCATCCCCTAGTAACCACTCATCTGCTTTCTATTGCTACAGATTTGCCTGATCTGGACACTTCATGCAAATGAAATTATACAATTTGTGACCTTTTGTGTCTGGTTTCTTTTACTTAGCATAATATTTTCCAGGCTGCCAATACTATAGGATATATCAGCATTTCATTCCTTTTTATGGCTGAATAATAGTCTATTGCATGGCTATACCACCATTTATTTATTCATCAGTTGATGGAATTGGCTTGTTTCTACTTTCTGGCTATTATGAATAATGCTTCTATGGACATTTGTGTACAAACTTTCATGTGGACATATGTTTTCCATTTATCTTGGGAATATACCTAACAGTGGAATTGCTGGGTCATGTGGTAACTATATGGATCACAACAAACTGTGGAAAATTCTTCAAGAGATGGAAATACCAGGCCACCTTACTTGTTTCCTGATAAACCTGTATTTGGATCAAGAAGCAACAGTTAGAACCTTACATGGAACAACTGACTGGTTCAAAATTGGGAAAGGAGTATGACCAGGCTGTATATTGTCACCCTGTTTATTTAACTTACATGCAGAGTACATCATGTAAAATGCCGACTGGATAAAGCACAGGCTGGAATCAAGATTGCCAGGAGAAATATCAATAACCTCAGATATGGTACCACTCTAATGGCAGAAAGTGAAGAGGAATTCAAAGCTTCTTGATGAGGGTGAAAGGCGAGAGTAAAAAAGCTGGCATAAAACTCAACATTCAAAAAACTCAGACCATGGCATCCGGTTCCATTACTTCCTGGTGAATAGAAGGGGAAAAAGTAGAAGCTTGACAGATTTTATTTTCTTGGGCTCCAAAATCACTGCAGCTGGTGACTATAGCCATGAAATTAAAAGATACTTGCTCCTTGGAAGGAAAGCTATGACAAACCTAGACAGCGTATTATAGAGCAGACATCGCTTTGCCGACAAAGGTGCATATGGTCAAAGCTATGGTTTTCCCCGTAATCATTATGGATATGAGACTTGGACATAAAGAAGTCTGAGCACTGAAAAACTGGTGCTTTCTAATTGTGGTGCTGGAGAAGACTCTTGAAACTCCCTTGGGAAGCAAGGAACTCAAACCAGTCAATCCTAAAGGAAATCAGCTCTGAATATTCATTGGAAGGACTGATGCTGAAGCTGAAGCTCCAGTACTTTGGCCACCTGATGCAAAGAGCTGACTCATTGGAGAACACCCTAATGCTGGGAAAGATTGAAGGCAGGAGGAGAAGAGGGCCGCAGAGGATGAGATGGTTAGATAGCATCACCAACTTAATGGATATGAATTTGAGCAAACTCCAGGAGAGAGTAAAGGACAGGGAAACCTGATGTGCTGCAGTCCATGGGGTTTCAAAGAGTCAGACACAATTTAGGGACTGAACAACGATGTTGTTGTAATTTTCTGTGTAATCTTGTGAGGAACTGTCTCACTGTTTTACAAGTGCTTGTACCGGTTTACATTCTTACTAGCAGTGCCTGAGGGTTCTAATTTTTCTACATTCTTGCCAACATATTATTTTCTGTATTTAAAATACACCCTAGAGGGTGTGAAGTGGTGGTATCTCATTGTGTCTTGATTTGCATTTCCTTAATAGCCGCTCATGTTCCTTAGTGATCAGTGAACATCTTTTCATGTACTTGTTGGCCATTTGTATATATATTTTTGGACAAATGTCTATTTAGAGCCTTTGCTATTTTTAATTTTCTTTTTGTTGTTGAATTATATGAGTCCTTTGTTTATTCTAAAACCCTTATC